CCCGGTTTCTGGGTAAATGCATTTTCTATTATCTCTGCAATGTGTTTATAGGTGTTGCCGGCAGGTTGTTTGCTTTGCGGCCGTTTAAATTGTATTGCCACGTTTGTAATTTTTTTTAAAGCCAACTACCGGTTGCAGGCTGGCGGTTGCTTTTATGCGGCAGACCTCTTTGGGTCGTCGTAGTTTTGGTTTTCAATTAAATTGAGGGATTAAATAAATTTAATTCAAGGAAAGCATAATATTTTCTCACGCAACTGAAACTTAAATGCTCTTTAATTATTAACTAGAAAGACATTTAATAAACAGAGTAAAGGTCGTTTCTAAGCAAATCTTTTACCAAAATATTAATACCCCTTTTTAGAGTACAAAAATAAATCAAAAATATTCAAATTATTTCATTGCATTACTCAAGGGCTTTTGTATTTTGTTTAGTTGCACTTCAAATGGCTTTTAACTGCATGCTTTTACATAATTGTAAAAAGGACAATTTTCCAAAATTAATTCAATTTGAATATTAGTCGGTTCAACCCCCAAAAATGTCTAGTCCCCTTGCTTTAAGCACTTGTTCAAATTAAATTTAAATTGTAAGGATCAATTTTCGGCAAAACACCGCTCGAAAGCAGGAGGACCTGCTCCTTCTATAAAGTCATGCTTTAACCATCAATTTATTATAGTGACTACGTTTAAGCTGGCCAATTTAATAGTTGGCCAGGAGCGATTTTGCAGACTTCCTTGTTGGTTTTTTGTTTGTGTCGGCACGGCCCGGGCCGGCACTGGCTTATGGCAGATACTGTTGTTGCCAGAATTTGAGAATGGATATTTATTATTGATATCGTTACCCTTTAAGCGCACACTTTATGGTATTTGGCAGTGTTATCTGTGTAGTCCAAGCACCTGGCCGAGAGATGGAGAACCGAGAAGCTCACCTATTGCAACCGTTGCAAATTCAATTGCATATTGCTGAGGCGCTCAGCGCTCAAGCGAACAGAAGCCGATGGATTCGAAGGAATTGCTGGGTTGGGGATGGGTTGTAACTTTTCCAGTACACTGTACCGAGTATAGTGCTCACTGACATGCAAAACAGCAGAAAAATTGTCTGCAGTCAGGGAGGCAGTCAGGGAGCCAGTCAAGGCTTCGTAGATAGACAGGCCAGTCAGACGCAAAAGCCAGTTGAAGATGCTGTTTGTATTTTTTTTGCCTTTAGTCCTTATCCCATCTTAAAGATTTTTAACCACCCGCACACACACCCACAAACACACACAGACAAACACCCAGATACGGCACAAACTTGTCGAAAATATATACGAAAATTGTTTAACAAGTTGAAGGCTTCCCGGCAAACTTTTTCACCTGCTCAGCACCAGTCAGGTAGTCAGGGAAAGGCAACAGCAACTGCAAGAAGAGAAAAAAATAAAAGTTTGCAATGATCCATAAGTTTTGTCGTTCCGTTTACATCACAAGGAGAAGCATTCTCTAGCCAACTTTAGCAGCCGCTTCAGTTTCGGCTTTTAATTAAATAATTTCTGCCAACCGGTCGGAGTTATTGTTTGCTGGAAGGATATTTGACTACAGAGTAGCCCTCGAACAAAGTGTTAGTTTCCAGCATCCCTATCTATCGTGTGCAATTATTTCGGCTTGCAAAATATTTAACTGCATTTCCTATTGATTTTTGTGCTTTTGTAATCAGTTGCCTTCGAGGCAAGCAGGAAATTGCCGATCTCCTGTCATTGTATTGCTGCTCCTGCCACCTACCCCACCTTATCCGTAAACGATTCTGTATCAAGGCAGTGGGAAAGACACACTCCGGGCCAGGAAGTTGGCACAACTGCAGTTGTCTCTTCCTTTTTGCTTGCCCCCCATTGTCTCTGACCCTGCTTCTGCCTCAATGTGTGTGTTGGTGTGTCAATATGCCGGGGGGATCGAGGGGGTGTTTAGGTGAAAGTTGGGCGGTCCATCGTTTATAGCAATTTCATTTGACTTCTCGCTTGTGTTTGCCGATGGTCAATAAATGAGCGTAATATTTGGACTTTGATTCCTGCGGCTAAACTGACGACGCCGAGGCAGTTGCAAGTTGCAAGTTTCAGGAAGCTACCAGCTGGCTGCAGGATGCCAGTCTCCGGTTAAAAGCTTCACAATACCTGTCATTATGAGCATGTGGGAAAGTTTATCCTTCAGTTGCTTAGATTTAAGCCTTTTTTTATAAATCTCAAGAAAGTTTCTCATAGAAACCCTGTAGATTTTAAGCTCTATTAGAGAGGAAGCTCTAGGATAATAATAAATAATAACAACTTGAACACCAAATAGTTCTGGCTTACATTGTTTCGGGCCCTTTGTTCAGTAAGTTATTAATAAATTTCTAATGGCTTGGCAAGGATTTTCGAGGCGATTTAGCCAGGACAAGATGTTAATACCCATAATCCTTGAAGAGCTATGAGAGCATGTCGCAATCAATGTTTTTGCGGTAGTTGGGATGAAAAATGGCATTTCCTTGATGGTTGGCTTAAGTGACAGGCCAAGTGCCAGTGGTGGCTGGATCGGAGGGCTGACTGCCTGAAAAAGCCACTTGGCTGAACTTACTTAACACATGGCGACACAGCTCAGCCTGCACATACACAGACTTGTACTTACTACACAGCCAGGGCCAGGACATAAGGTGTGTCCTCGCTGACCGTTCCATGGAAGGATGCAACAGCAGAAACACTTTTGTGTAGCAGGCATCTCTCTCTCTCGGTATCCTCGGCTTGGTCACCAAGATAGTGGCGTGGGCAAGGGCAGTGGGGGTTAATTCACAGTCAGCGTGCGCAGCATACAACGACAACAACTGTGGCAATTGTAGCGCCAGCTTTTCCATTGTATTATGACAGCAGCTGCACCTGCAAGTATGCAGTGATTGTGATTTTTTTTTGCTTTTTTTTCTAGCTCGTTCACTTACTCAGTCGCCTGCGAAACCCCTCGAAAAACTGTAAACAAAAACCAGGACAATAGTCGAGGATGGTGAGATGGGTGGGTGGTAGTTGGTAGGTGGTAGGTATGCAGGACTCTAGGTGGCATGGCATGTGTTCATTGTCCAAGAGCAGTTCATGCTTGGCTACGCATTTGCAAGAGTGTATGTAAGTGTGGGTCGAGTTGGCATATCAACTGGTCGGACATGGTGTAAACACGTTTAATGTTGTTGCCGTTGCTTGGCTGCAGTTGCTCCTGGCCAGGACTCCTGAAACACTTCCCCTGGCACTGAATCCAGGGCTCGGGCACTGGCTCCAGCCTCCGTGTCTCCTTTGCTACGTTTAATTTAATCTGCAGCCGCTACCTTGACATGCCCTGCACTTCAATCTGCATGTGCTCGTGGGTGGGTCTCACAGGGCAACCTTCCCGGCTGCCATTTTTTGAAAAATTCAACTTTCCAACTTTGAAGCTACCGGAGAAATTGAAAGCACAGTAAAAACTCATTAAAACTTTTTTTTTGGAATAGTATAAGGATAAAAGAAAGCTTAACAATAACATCAAATACCCTAAAATTCTTGTATTTTAAAGTATTTAGCTGAAAATTTACATCTTCAATGAAAATCCTTGATCAAAAGATATTAAAGCTTCCAAACTAAGTGAAGTTTCTTCAGAAGCCACTGTAGTATTTTGTGAGCTGACTCGAGTGCACCACAAGTCCATTTAACTTAGCTTTGGCAGTAGTGGCCCAGACTACTAGCTAACTGCTGGGCCGGGCTGGCTGGCCTGCCAGTTGCCAGTCGCCTCCTTGGTCACCCGATTCGCTGCATCACTCAAACGCCGGGGATCCGGCCTCGAGCCCCGGAATGCGTCGGCTCCTCCAGCCATCCTCCTCCTCTGTCAACCCATCGTCAACCCTCTGAACGAGGCGACAGGAATGCATGGACCGGCGAGTATGGGCAACGTAATTTGCATGGTCAGGCTTGCAGTTTTGGGACACACACAGAGTGGCAAGTTGTGCCTCGTCCCCAAGTTAATTGCATGCAGGAATAGCACCAGCAATAGCAGCCATGAGCCGGGGGGGGGGGGCAGCATCATCAGCAGCTTCAGAATCAGCAGCATCGGCATCGGCAACTTCATCCAATTGTTGGGGGATCGTCCTTGCAATTTCCTGGCGTAAGCGATGCCACTTTAAAGTTCAGGTTTTAAGTCCTAAGAATAATACAAACGGAAAAAAAACAAAACAAAAAAAGTAAAAGGCAACAATCTGACAACGATACTCACCTCCATTCCGGCAGGTGATTATGCTGCACGTGGTCCGACACATGGACCCGGCTCGTTATACGGAACATTACAAAAAATGATAATAACGGGAGCGCTACACAAACGCTGTGACACGCAAAAAAATTAAAGGGCTGCACATGCCCCTCTTTTTTTTCCGCCCACTGGATCGACATCGGAGTTGGAGTCAAAATCAGACAATGTACGAGTGCATATGGCTCCATTGTATACGGGCGAAAAAAAAAATATAGCCAAGTTTACAAATGGCACAGCCTCTGGCTGCATAAACGACGAGATTTTTCAGATTCTGGGTGCTTTTTTAGCTGGAATTCGAATCATTTGCAAGCGATTTAATTTCAATTGCATGGGCGTTAATCAAAGGCAACAAAAGCCATGGGCTAACCAAAAAACGGGGCTTGCCAAATTATTTATTTCGTAACCAAAAAAAAAGAAATCAAAAATTAGTAGAAAAGTGCCTATTCGATGTTAAAGTTATTTCTTGTTTAAATAATAAAGTTTAAAACATAAGTAAAAATAAAAGGTGAATAAATAGGATACATTTACAATTCACTTTATAAAATATGTGCATATGTCGAGTATATTTGGTTTTAATGAGGGTTTTATCTAAACAATTCATATCAATTACTGCTATCATTATAATAAAATTTAAATTTCCCGCCTATTCACTAGTGAAAACAGTCTAGTTTCCCGATAACTTTTTATTTTACGTAAATAATCGGTGTTTTTGGGAATTTCGCGTGCGGTCACATTAAAAACAATTGAGCAAAAGAAAACAACAACATTGATTCTTTCGCTTGGCGCGAATTTGTTAATAAGAAATGAACGGATCACGAAAACAGAGGCCGTTAAAGACCGTGCGCCTGGGTGATCTACTTTATGACGAACATAAACGGCTCCTGGTCCTCTGCCGGAGCTGCGAGAGTCATTTTATGACCCTACAGTCGTTCCACAATCACCTAAACATCTGCCCCGGAATTAAACATATAGTAAAGTCTACAGATGAGCTCAGCTTTGATGAAACAAGAAGGGAGAGCCTAATGGTCAGCGGAAAGCAAAAGGTAGAATTATTAGATGGATGCATATATAGGTACTAGTCTCCTAACACTTCGATCTTTCCAGGTCTTCATCTACGACATTGACGCGGTGAAAAATGCAAGCAATCCTTTAAGTTGTACCCTTGATTTGGAAGCTGAGCTGGAAAATCCACGATGGTACGAAAATAATAATGACAACCAAACCGAAACCAAATCTACGACGGCCAAAGAAAATGTGGGGAAGGATATAAAACTGGAACTGCGTCTCGAACCGCCTGAAACAGAGGAGAGTCCTTCAAAGCGGCCAGACAGATCTTCCTGTCCCCAAATGAGGATTCTTACGTACCAGCCGCAACGCAAAAAGCGCACCAGCCTGCCACCACCACAAGCTTCAGCGGCGAAAAGGAAAAACGACACGCTCTTGGTACCCAAAGTTATGGAAGACCTGAGACGCCTTCAGGAGTCGCCGAAAAAACCGACTCGTCCAGCGCAAGCTTTTCAACCTCCCTCCCCGCCCAAGCCAAGGCCTCCTCCCATGGTCTCCATACCGATAGATAACACTCAAAAGATTCTGAACAAGCTGCGGGCCTGTGGGGTGCAGGTGAAGCGGGGAAGCACACACATAAATCCTAGTCCTCCAGCCGACGAAGATAAAACCAAAAATAAGGAAGCTCTTGAAATCATGAGGAAGTTGCAGTCGAAGGGTATCCGGTGTACCAAAGTTAGAAACAAGTAGGGCCCATAGAAGTAAGTGCTTAGCAATAAGGACATTTAAAAATAAATTAAACTGGCTGAGATAGAGTATTCATCATTGTGTTTTCCGTCTTGGATGAGGAAGCAGTTAGTGGTGGAAAATTATCGATGTTTGGAGAGTGACGGCAGAGATGTTGTATCGATGTTGTCGCACCTCTAGAAGCAGATTGTTGATTTTTTGCGCGGAGCCGCACGCGTTTCTGAAATAATTTGTAAATTCTGACTTGCCGTGTGGCCCGGCAAAATATATTTTTTATTCGATCGTAACACTAGCTCGCCCAAATCCGAAATTCACGTGTGTCCACCTGCAGGAGCAGCCAATTCACAGGTAAGTCAGCTGATTCCGATGGAAGACAAATCGGGCTTACATAATTTAAGGCCCGAATTTTTGTTTTCGTTTCGTGTGTAGTGCAGTTAAAATGACATCATAGTTTGGTTTTTAGAAAAGTCTTGTGCACATATTAGTCCTTGTACTATTTATGAGACAGTTGCATCATTATGCAGTTAGTACCAAAGAGGAAGATTATGTTAAAAGAGGGATAGGCTCTGGGAAGAGTCCACTTTGTGCTGGAAATCAATTCTATTGATTGTCCAAATTATGACATAAAACTATAATGTCACACCTATCCTAGTTGGTTTAGAAAACCTTCTAATAATAGTGTCAAACCCGACAAGTATTCCCCTCAAGAAAGAGAACTCATTCGTGAATTAGAATGCAAATTTTTATTATTTCAATTATAATTACTCATGTTGCAAATACTTGTACTCCCTTATCCTAGGGCACCGAAGAAAATCTATAGGCCATTGGATGCCGTACAATGATGATTTCTTTGAGAGTTTCACTTAGTTATCTAATTGAATTCGTTTCACTTCGACACTTGGATTAGTTTCATTTAGAGTTTCAATTTGTGGTATTTATAGGCTAAACTATTTAGTGCGTGTGCCGGTTTCGTTTTAAATTAGTGAGTTTGCCTGGGTTCATTGGATTTAAGATTACTTATTAACTTAAAGCTGCTTATTGTTTGCATATCAATCAATCCATTCATTTTGCTCTCTCAAATCACAAAACATTTACATATTCAAAGTATCAACAGTGAGAAACAAGAGACATTAGATTAGAATGTAATCAACATTTATACGAAAATAGATGTATGTTTTTATCATGTAGAGTGTAGACTTATTGAGAGGGGTGCACTTAAATGCGGCGTTTAACGTTTTACAATTATCCATTTCTAATTATTCATTTAATATAAACAAATCTGATGATATGGGGCTGGCAAACGATGCCGCAGATGCCCCAATAACTTCGCACTATTCCAGAGAGCGGCGGCGCAGCTGCTTGCGTACTCCGCCGAAAGCAGCACTGCTGCGATCCAGGAGCTCGTTCGACAGCCTGGCCAACAGCGGCAGCTCCCGCATTGAGACATTAACGGATGGCAAGGGCGCCAGTTGCTGTTGCAGCTTCTTGATGGGCGTGGGCGGTGCTAGCTGGTGGTGCTGCGGGGTAACTGGCAAGCTAGCGGGGACGATCTTCGCCTGCACCTCGTCGGTGTGGCGCTTGAGGCCCTCGGCTCCCAGGGAATCGGGCCGCTGTTCGGTTGACTTGGCTCGCACTGTCTGCTGCCGCTTGGCCGCTTCCTTGAGCATCATCAAGTGATCCAACTTGTCGACTGTGGCCTTCAGCTCGTGCTCCCACACGTCGTTCTGCTGCTGGCCGTCGCCGCCTTCGATGGGGCGCACTGCCAGGATCTTGACCTTCTGACGCAGGGCCTCCAAGTCCCTTTCGTCCACCACGCCTCGCAGCTCGCCTGCCCCCGTCTCGTCGTAGTCGCAGGCGTCCTCTTCGTCCTCAGTTTCCGCAGCCGCCTGCGGTGTTTTCGCACCCAACGACATCTGGCTGCCAGCAATGGAGGGATAGTCGCACTTCTCCAGCTCTGTTTGGAAATCCGGCAGCGATGGAAGCGCACTGGAGGTCGGCGAATTGAGCTCAGCTCCAACGCCCGGCTCCCGGGGCCCGGGTGGTGTGGGAAAGTCACCCCGTTGCCTGTGTATATCCTCGCTGATCCGCTCTAGATTCCGTAGCGCCGTAGAGTAGGTGCTCTTGGCACCAGCCACTTGTTGTTGCAATTCCTGGATGCGGTTCTTCTGGGTCTGCAACTGGTCCTGGCACACTTGCTTCTCCTCGAAATAAGGACGCGACTTGTTGATGCTCCGCCGGAAGCGATCCTCCAGCTGCTGCAGCTTTTGCTCGGCGGCATGAAAGAGTCGAGTGCGCCGCTGATGCTCCGCATGGCAGTCAGCCTTCTGGGTTTCGGCGTCCATCACCTTCTGAGTGGCGTGGTTCAAGCTCTCCTGCCAGGCGTTGTCGAACTGCCACTCGTGGGAGTTGGACATGAAGCGCTGCTCGGCCAGAGCCACCATTTCCTTAGCAGTGGCATGGATTTCTGGAGGAATAGGTTGGAGTTAGCCAGGAAATAGAAGCTTACTAAGTGGAGACTCACCATTGGCTCGCTTGAACTTGTCTGCCGCCTGCTGGCACTCGACCTGGGCCTCGCGCGCCTTATCCAGAGCTTCATAGTAGGGCCGGGCCTTCTCAATGCAGTTGCCTAGTTTCTTGGAGGAGAGTTTCAGGCGCCTGGTGGACTCATTTAGCAGGATGCGAAAGGTGGAATTGGCCTCCTGTTAATGAATGGTGTTTAGTTGAGGATTACTGACATTTCAAGAGGACTAGCTTACCTCCAATTCAATTTCTAGTTTATTAATCTCATCTGTTGCACTGTTGAGATTCTCCAGTTCGATCTGGAAACAAAAAAAAAGGTTAAAATATTAATATTTATAATCTTCCTCTAGTATTGAACTGAAAACACTGCCCCACCGCCCTCCCGCAAAATGTCACAGTCGCCGCGAGGCGGGTCCGCCTCCAAGGACTCCAAGTACGACCTGAGCAAGATTTCCGCTCGCGTGGATCGGGTCAATGTCAGTGGACTGCAGCGCACCCAGAACGACTACGTGATGCGGGCCGCCGATGGCCTCTTCAAGGCCAACAACTTCCAGGACCTCATGGTGGAGGCCATGTCCACCAAGTCGTACCTGCACGAGCTGGGCATCTTCAAGGACGTTAGTGTCCACATCGACATTAGCCGAGGCGCCGATGCCACGCCCCAGGGCTACGAGGTCACATTCAAGGGCAATGAGTATACGCGTCTGATGGGATCCGCAGGCACGGAGATTGGCCAGAACGAAGGATCTCTCCGCACCGAGCTAACCATCCCGAATATCCTGGGCCGCGGGGAGAGCGTTTCCTTGCAAGGAAGCTACAGCAGCAACCGGGCCCATGACTTGCAGTTGAAGTTCTGGAAACCATTCTTCCACACACGTTTTAGGGAAAATCGACCAGAGTAAGTCCATCAACTCCTGGTAGTTCTTGAACTAAATCCTAACCTCCTATCCTTTCAGATTATCCTTTAGCCTCTTTAGGCAGACTGATAGGTATGATATCAGCTCATTCCAGACCACAAATCTGGGCTACTTGGTGGACTTTTCAGCCCACACGATGCTGGGAGTGGATGTAAGTGAGGAGTTCCCAATCTTCTCCAGCTTCTGACCTTTTCCCTGCCTTTCAGTTGACCCACTCACTGCAGTACGAGAACTCCATCAGGGATGTTAGCCTTCTGAACAAATCGGTGCCCTTCGCCATCCGTGACCACTGCGGCCCGAAGCTGGCCTCGCTGCTGCGCTACTCCGTCACGTTTGACAACCGGGACAGCAATGTGTTCCCCACCCACGGAGTGCTGCTGAGATCCGTCAACGAGTACTGCGGCCTGGGCGGCAACATTGCCTACACCAGCAGCACGGCCCACGGAGAGGTGAACGTGCCCCTGTTTGCCGGACTGGTGGCCCAGTTCTGCGGACGTGTCGGCGTCGTCAAGGAGACCAAGAACACCACCCAACTGCCCATCAACTCGCTGTTCTACTGCGGCGGCCCCCTGACTCTGCGAGGATTCAAGTTCGGTGGAGCTGGACCCGTGATCGATGGCACACCCATTGGAGCGCAGACCTTCTGGTGCACGGGTGCGCATTTGTGGGCACCCCTGCCCTTCGCTGGCGTCTTCAAGAACCTGGCCAGTCACTTCAGAATGCATTTCTTCTACAACCTGGGCAACAGCAACACCTTCAGCACAGGTTCGTGGGCTGAGAACCTCTCCATTTATCAGTGAATTTAATGCATTTTTCTTTTCAGAAAATATGCGAAGTGCCTTTGGCGTGGGACTGGCTGTCAAGTTGGCGGAACGAGCACGCATCGAGCTGAACTACTGCGTTCCTGTGCGTCGCCAGACCTCCGATAACGCCATCAATGGTTTCCAGTTCGGCATTGGCTACGAGTTCGTCTAAGATTCCAATTGAGTGGATCAGTCCTAGCAGAGCCATGAGAGTCACAATAGCCCCCTCCACCACTGCAACCCATTATTTTGGAGCTTTTGTTCTGTATTTCTTTGTCAATGCATTTGATTTTCCTCAGAAAATGTATGTTATTGTAGTCCCAGCAATCATTTAAGTAGTTCCTAAGGCGTGTACATACTTAAAACGAAAAAAATGTTTCAAAAAAACATTAATACTCTTGTTTTTTGGAAAGATTTTCATTTAAATAGTTGGGGAATCTGTGTATCTACATGTGAGTTGGTTCATGGATCGCTGAACTCCATGCAGTTACAGCTTTTTTTTCCCAAAAACAGGTTTTATTCATACATTTTTTTGGTTATTTTGTCTGCCTTCCCTTGGAGAGCAGCTTTTATTAGGGCTGTCCCAGTTTGATTTTAATCGTGTCCACCGAACATTTCTCCACAAGCCCCGCCCCAGGCGGAGGCGGCTGATAGGGCCACTACACCCTCCTTAGGTCTCCTCCGTAATCGTGATTGATTTAAGAGCCGGAGACGAAGCCAAGTGCGAGACCGAACCTCCAAACTGGTTCCCCCATCTGGTAAACAAAACAAAACCAGTTTTAGCATCCGCTGCAGATGAACATTTCAACACTTGAACTTTCCAGGAATTTTTTGCAGCCCAAGGAGTGGAGTGAGTGGAGTAAGTGGCTCCTAAACCTGTTTTGCCCTTTTGCCAAGTGAACTTTTGGAGATAAAAAGGCCAACAAAGTACTGAGCAGTACTTTCTTAGCATTTCAGCTAAGAAATAATATTTAATTATCCGAATGTCCAAATAAACAGAAGAATAAATAACGTCGCAAATTGTATAAATATTTTTGCAACTTTTTGGTCTTTAAGCCAAAAAAGGTAAGAAAACATGTCAACAAAATGCAATTGGGGCAACAATATTGTTGATTAAGCAAACATTTTTAAAGAATTTCATCGAAATGTTGGCAAAACATTCCACAATCAGCATAATTCCGTCAGAAAACTCCCCTTGCAATTATTGATTTGTCACCAAAGCCATTTAGAGCCGCCAACAGGGTCAAAACCAAAACGCTAACAAATCACGCGATGGATGTTCAAGCTCAGCTTGAGTCACACAGGCTATGAATAAAGCCAATCAAAAGGGGAAAGGTTATAGCCAAGGCGCACCTCTTGGCCCAGAGCGGATGACGTGAGTGCGGCTCGTTAGGAGCCAAGTGCGATTCGTCAGACAAGGGGACGCCACCCTCACCGCCAGGCTAGTGCCTTCCCTCGTCTTGTCTTGGCTTCCTTAATGAAGGATGACGCCTGGGTGGCTAGAAACACGTCAGACTCAGGTGATGTGTTGGCCAAACAACAGACTGTAACTATAAATAGAGGTCCGCAAATAAAATAATTCAAGGGGGGAGTTTGCCAAATCTCCAATTTCATCAGGGCCATTAGGGTTGGTATCACTATGAGGTCCTTTTCATTCTCCACCCTAAGTGTATCCTTTGAGAACTCACATGATTAGTTTATTAGCCCAGCAGTCTACCCATCCCTTCCGAGTTCCCAGTTCCGCAATGACGCCAGCCAGCTGCCTTTTTCTGACTTTGCCGGCAGTGGCGTGATGCCGACTAGGCTGACCTGACCTACATCGTGTGGTGGCCCCCTCCAGTCGGACGTGAACCACCCCTGACTTTGGCAAAAATGCCAACAGAAGACTGTAATGGAAACCTCCATAGAATTTACATCGATTTTGGATGGCTTGCGTAACCTGGGAGGACATTCAACTCGACCGGAAGTGGACGTCATCGGAAGGTACTCCACTTCGAAAAGAAAGCCTCTCAAAGTGGCGCTTTGTTGGGAAAGTCGTTGGACCATTTACGGTGGGAGGTCAGAGAGATGTGCTTGTTATATAAAGAAAATGCGTGAATGAATTTCGAGCGACCCAAAAATAAATAATCCAAGTCAGCGTAGCTTGACCACTTTTTTCAGCTTTTAATTATGGCCATTCCGAGCCACAGCCGAGTTATGTCAACTTGAGGGAAAGAAGTCAAGTTTCAATATGAGGGAATGAGGGCAAAGGTGTGGTGTGTACCATCCATAATAGTGATATAGTTTCTCTTCCAAGTTCATGGCCTGATAAGATTGTGTCTCTCAACAATACCGATTTGATAAAGCAGGAAATGGCCACTGCACAGCACAAATAACCAAATAAGCTTAATCACTGAATGTCATTAACTAATTTCAGGCAAAAGCGCACAAAGCAAAGCCAAAGCTGAATTCATTAAGCTCGATAAAATGTATGGAAAAAACTGAGTCTGTGCGGTAACTAGCCCGCTAGCCCGACGAAAGTCGCAACTAGCAACTCAGTTATGCATCATTGGCGCTATAATGACTACGATGATGGCAGAAGCGGTGCCCCCCAGGGACTGCCAACCGATTGCACTCATTGGAGAGGTTATCCATAGCTCAGCCTCAGCCTGGCAGCTGTGTTGTGCCTTTGTCTCTCAATGATTTTTAATAAACTTCCGACAGTTGTTTTGGTTTATTTTTTGTAAAAAAAAGAAAGTAAATAAAATATCACTTTCGATCAGAGGGGCCTTTTGTCGCCACGGAATTAAATGGTAGCGTGGCCGAGCGGTCTAAGGCGCTGGTTTAAGGCACCAGTCTCCTCGGAGGCGTGGGTTCGAATCCCACCGCTGCCAAGATGAGGAATACTTTTTATTTTTTATTTTTTAGTTCACTCAATTAAATTAGTCTCTGTGGAATAAGTTACTGAAATACTAGATAAGAAATGCCTTATGCTGATACCCTCAGGTTGAGTCACCTATTGACACGATTTTCTGATTCATTAACGCCTCCAATGGGGGTTCTCTTCAAAGTCCATATTTCGCTTCAAACTCTCACCTTGCTTATGTAACAAAAACCCCTAAAAAGTATTACTCATTTTTTTTATAGAAAAACGCTGTAAAATTGCCTTTGATAATCGAATTATTATTATTAAATGGAAGCAAGTAAAAATTATATTTTTAAAATTCATTTTCCCACTAATTTTCTTTCTCATTAAAAAAAACCGGCTCGACTCTTGATTGTTTCTCCATCAAAGTAATTAGCGGACAATCGATAAGTGACGCTAAATTATACGGTTTGGAAATTATACTGGGAGTTTAGAAAGTTTAAAGCTAAAGAAATAAACAGCGCCATCACGCAAGTATGTAGGCAGGTATTCTTCCCAACATAATAATACGCAAATAATTCTCGGAAACATCTGTAGCTACCAGACACACGATTTCAAGCAAATAGACTTTGCGGCTTGTCGTCATCAACCTGAAACAGGTCTCTGATAAGACAATTTTTGCACGCGCGCCAATTATGGTAGAGTCAAGACCCATTGATAAATCATATTGGCAATAGATGGTAGAAAAGTACAAGCAACAAAGCCGGCTTGTCTAAAGAGGAAGTCGAGCATAAAATACTGAAGAAAAGAGGGCGAACCGATGCGAAATATTTTAACATTTCGGTTGTTTTCATCAGAATTTCAAAACCTGTTTTTAATCGAATATTTCTGTATTTATTTCCCATACATATACCCTATCTTTGGGCTTCAATCAAGTCACATGCTCTGCTGTCTGTTAATGGCTTTACGCGGCGTGTGACGTCTCCCACTAGGTTTTCGCATTTAAAAATAGATATTATTAGAATTTGTATACAAAACCTGAAGGGGGATCCGGTAAAGAGATTCCCAGGTGATCTAAGATTTTAAAATAGCCTTAGTATGAAGGTCAACGCGGCAAGGATGTCTATGCTATCCTTTTATGGACATTATGAGCATGAAAGCTGTTCGTATTGCGTAGTTGATTTAAAAAATCAAGTCTTTATTTATGCAAACTGCGACCCCCGCTTCAAGACACTGTGGGTATTGCCTCACAAAAAAAAAAAATAATAAAATTAAATCCAAAATAAAAATAAAAACAAAGACAATGCTTGCGTGTGCGCTTTGGTATTTCCATTTATTACATTTGTATGCCTGTCTCTTCCGAAAAAAAATTAAAGGGAGAGAGATGGGTGGAAAGAGCAATAACCAAGGTGCACTTGAATCTGGTTTAGGTAGGAAACCCAATCCGACAAAGGAAAATACCCAAATTACCCCGAGAAAAGGCCCAAAATTGAATTACTTGGAAGTCCTTAGAGGGAGGATGAGGGGAGGATTAAAGGAAATCACTTGTGATCCTTCCAAGGTCTCGTTTTTAAATATATTTCGAATATTTCAACGGAAAAGGAAACTTGCAATTTGCCTAAATGCTTGGGAAATTGATTTTCCTTGTGGGTAACAAAGCGTGAAAAAGGGGCACGCAATATAATGAGCAATATAATGGAATGCAAACCCCAACAGAGACCTCTTCCCAAAAAAAAAAAAAACAAACAATAAGTGCAGTGAGTGATAGAGAGAACTGCTAGCAACGTGCCAAGGCAGTCTCATTTCTGTTATTGTCGGTTTTCTATACAAAATACGAGTTTAGCGAAAAAGTCACTTGGCACTTGGCACTGCCAGGCACGTGCAGAAAGAGGCGAGGCGAGGCGCGGTGGGAGGTTGGGGTAGTCGCCAAACACTTACCTGAATTTGCGGGTCCAGCTCGCCCTCATCAGCACCAGACATTTTCAATTAGTTTGACTATTTCGCGCACTATCCCTCAGCAATCAATCGAGTTAATTTTTTCACTTTTTTGTCGCCTGCTCTTCAATTGAAAACTACTTGCATTTGCATTTTCACTTGCATTTCGGTTAATTTGATCTCAACGCCAGTGTGTGCCTGCCCGTCTCCAATATTATGTAAATTAGACCCTGGGCCGTGTTGGCCTCACAACTGGCAATTTGCTAGGTAGGCAGAGAACGGACACCGATGCAATCCTATTCTGCGTTTCACATTTAACATTTAACAAATAGACAGACGCCCGACCGACCGACGGAAAGTGAAAGAGGCCACGGAGCGCGGGAGACGGGACGCGGGGGACAGTCAAACGGTACAGTAAACACGGTTCGTCTCTTCCACGCTCAGCGACCAATATTAAAGCATCAAATTACTCCGCGAGGGCTCAAAAATAAAATGATAACTCCAGCAGCTAAAGGTACGCGTCCACCCGCGATTAGGTATGTGAAAGATATATCTAAATATCGATAGATTTCACGCAAAATAAATATTTTTATGCGATGTATCAAACAATCGATAATATTCTTTGACCTCAGGTGTATTGGTTTTGGTTGGTGAGAGAGATTTAGATTCCGACCATGTCTTAAGCCATTTTTTCATTCGTAACATGCTGACAGCAGTCTGTGGTGTAAAGTAGACATGTCGACCATTTTTATATAGAAAAATATCGGCAGATATCCACGGTGTTGCCAATTCTCCTTTATACATTTTACATTTACATTTTACATTGTAAGTTTACATGACAGTTTTTTAAAATTTATCTGTGCGATGCGCGAGCTTCAAACACGAGGTCCAAAAAAAAAAAAAACCCTGCACATCTGTGTCATCATTGCACTTAATTATTTCCGCGAAAAAGCGTTTGATAGCTTATCACCTTAACACATACACAAGCGTACGCCTTCGTCACACAAACGGCATTCGGAGATCTTTCAGTCGCGAATCTAGCTTACGGGAAGAATGTTGGGTTTGAAATTTTCAATTGTGGCGATTTGCCTAACTCTGAGCCTGCAATGGATCGGTCCTGTGGATTCCAAAGTCTGTGAGACACATGACAAGAAAATAGGCAAATGCCTGCGTCCTAAAGATTGCCCGGCTCTTAAGCCCATTGTGGACAAGATGAATAAAAAGATCCCCCTATCGGAGATTGAGCGAAAACTGACTAAATTAATTGTACGATGCGAAAAGGTAAGTAAATTGACAAGCGACTATAAAAATCAATGAATAATTTTGTCTCCTCCTTCTAGAAAAAAAAGTTTTGCTGTGAAGAACCTCTTAATTCTGAAGGCTTAAATTTATTGAAGGAAAATGATGATATATGTGGTAATTTCGCAGATCTGAGGGTTTATAACGCAAGAAAAATTAGAATGGGATCAAGGCCGTGGATGGCATTACTGGAGTACAACGTAACACAGCCTTTCAGGGCACGGTTTCAATGTGGCGGAACTCTAATTACTTCGAGTAAGTTCTATAGAACATTGATCCTTTGTCACTTTATTTAATTTGTTATTTGTCTTATTTATCTTTATTAAAACAGAATTTGTCTTGACGGCTGCGCACTGTATCAAAGAGACCCTGTAAGTAAAGGACTATATACTAAGACAAGCCAGAGCTAAATTTAATTACCATTTCTTCCAGGGTATCCGTCCGTTTGGGGGAATATGATATTAGTGAGCCCCTAGACTGTTTGATGATTGGCAATAAGAAAACATGTCTGGATGGACCACTGGACGTCCCGGTCGACAAAAAAATCACCCATCCGCAATTCGACAATTTTTTTTTATACAACGATATAGCATTGCTCCGCCTACAAGACCCAGTCCGCATCACCGATTGGATTCGACCCATATGCCTGCCGCTGTCTCTAGAGCTCCAGTTGGAGAGTCAAACCAACATACTGATGGAGGTAGTCGGCTGGGGTTTAACGGAACAAAATGCTCTCTCAAACGTCGCCAAAAAGGGATTCGTTAATCGTCTTCCGTTAACCCAGTGCAACATCTTCAATATAGCGGACAAACGAATATGTGCCAGCGCCAATGGAATTGATGCCTGCCAGGGTGACTCCGGGGGACCACTGACCTATCCCACTTCATACAATGGCAAGCAGCGTTTGGTGCAAGTCGGAATTGTGAGCTACTCGGACGGGAAAGCATCCGACTGTGGCCAACTGCCGCATGCTTACTATACGGATGTTGCTGAATATATGGGTTGGATAACCGAAACCATTGTTGAAAAAGAATAACTCGTTACAGGGGCTTAACCAGCTTTATTATCAAATAAATTATTTTATTGCTCTAAAGTCGATCTGTTTAATGATTTTTAAATAGTTGGGACGGATAAAAAAAAGGATAAAGCAGCCCACATTGGGATGTGGTCCCAACCTACACAGGGACATTTCCGCACATCGTACTTCTTGAAAATATCCTTGCCTTTGATAGAAAAGTTGTTAAGGAGCAGACAAAGACCATTATAGCTAAACACAGTTCCCAGAGGAGACCATTAAATATATTACTAGTATCATCTAGTATTTCTTTGAAATTAAGGACAAAAGCTTCTAGTCCTTCTATTAGAATTGTTAGAATTTAAAGGATCTTCTAGTTGATGTTTTTCTTAAGAAAATTAAGAAAAAGGCGAAACAGCAAGATATAGGATTGCAAAAGGCGAACAAAACAAAAGATCTGTATGTATGTATGTAGGATATTAAAAAACGCATCATTTTAAAACATTTTAAAATATCCTATTTTTGTGACAATTCTCTAATTTGAAATAACTTTTTAAAAGGGCCTAAGGAGCTTTAGGGTCAGGTGACGAATCTTGGTCTTTCCGATTTAAGTCAAATACCTAATAGGGTCAGAGCGAGCTATAGGGCACCAATCTTTGCAAAGGTATTCAAATGAAAATTAGAAGATCTCTTCTAAAATAATAAGAGATGTTTGTCCAACTTAATAATATAGCATTTCTTAAAATGAACAATTAAAGCGAAGCAATTAAAGTCGCTTTCAAATTTCTTTTGAAAAGGCGAATCGTCTTTTAATGATATTTTTATACCCTTGCAGAGGGTATTATAATTTTTTCCAAAAGTGGGCAACGCAGTGAAGGAGACTTCTCCGACCCTATAAAGTATATATATTCTTGATCAGGATCACCTCCTGAGTTGATATGAGCATGTCCGTCTGTCCGTCTGTCTGTTTCTACGCGAACTAGTCTCTCAGTTTTAAAGCTATCGACTTGAAACTTTGCACACACCCTTCTTTCCTTTGCACGCAATATATAATTCGGAACGACCGGGATCGGCCGACTATATCCTATAGCTGCCATATAACTGATTGATCGGAAATGGTATAACTTTGGTGTTTTTAAATTTAGAGAGTTCAAATATTAGGTGAGAGCTATTTTTGGCAAAATAATACAACATGTCGAATTTCAAAAGGATCGGCCGACTATATCCTATAGCTGCCATATGACTGATCGATCGGAAATGACCAAACTTTCGTGTTTTTGATGATAGACAGCTGGAACTTGGTACAGATTATATTTTTGATCAGTTAATCCGACCTACTAAATTTCATAAATATCGGTCGACTATATCTTATAGCTGCCATATAACTGAACGATCGGAAATGGTATTTGGTATAAATACAAACTTTGGTATTTTTGAAGATAGAAGCTTGGGACTTTTTTTTTAGATATTTTATTGTATTTAATTGGTGATATTATGATATTCTCATAAGGATCGGCCAACTATATCCGATGTTTGCGATGTATATCCGGTTTTAGCTGCAAGGGTATATCAACTTCGGCTCCGCCCGAAGTTAGCTTTCCTTTCTTGTTTTTAATCTTGACTTCCAAGAAAATACATTAAGAACTGATTTAAGATTCACAAGTCATGGCCCTCTTCATTCGTATCACCACAATTCTCTAAATTATTTTAATGAAAAGTTTTTTGATAAGCTTTTCATCAGAATTCTTAGAATTTTTAATTAACATGAATTTTTATGGAAAATCCTAAAATATTTATTAAAATGTTATTACCAGTAGCCTTCTTCGCACATATAAGATTCGGGGATCAGTCAGTAGCGACTCTAGCTTACTGAAAGAATGTTGGGCTTGAGATTTTCGGTTCTGGCGATCTGCCTCACTCTGAGCCTGCAATGGATAGATCCTGTGGATTCTAAAGTGTGCGAGACGCATGACAAGAAAATAGGCAAATGCCGGCGTCCTAAAGATTGCCCGGCTCTTAGGCCTATTGTGAAAAAGCAGAAAGAAGGCATTCCCCTAACCGACGAGGAGCAAAAGTTTGAAAAAGCCGTTTTGATATGTGAAAAGGTAACTAAATAAACACGTGACTTTAAAATACAGAGTCTAACTCAAGTCTTCTCCTAGAGAAAATCTTTTTGCTGTGAGGATCCATTTAATGCTGAAGGAGTAGACTTGCTGAAACAAAATGATGAAATATGTGGTACTTTCTCAGATCCTAAGGTTTCAAATGGTATGAATGTTAGAATGGGAGCGCGGCCGTGGATGGCCCTACTCGAGGATAATTTGACACTGCCTTTTAGGGCACGGTTTAAATGTGGCGGCACTCTGATCACTTCGAGTAAGTTCTATAAAACATTGATCCTATGTCACTTTATTTTTTTGTTTGACAGAATTCGTCTTAACGGCTGCGCACTGTATCAATAAGACTACCCTGTAAGTAAAGGAGCTCAACCCAAGACAAAACACACCTACTTATAAAATACCCTTTTTTCCAGGGTATCCGTCCGTCTGGGAGAACATGATCTTAGTAAGGACGAGGACTGCTTAAGCTTTGACGATGAGCCAGTGTGTCTGGATAAACCCCTGGACGTTCCAGTCGACAAGATTTTTGTCCACGTGGGATTTCAACGTTTAAGAGCTGTGAACGATATTGCATTAATCCGCCTAAAATACCCAGTCCAGTTTACCGATTGGATACGACCCATATGTCTGCCGATAACAAAAGATCTTCAGTTTGAGAGTCAAACCAACATACCGATGGAGGTTGTCGGCTGGGGCATAACAGATGAAGAAAAGCTCTCAGACGTCCCTAAGAAAGCTTTCATCAATCGGGTGAACTTAGCCGAGTGCAACATCTTAAATCCAATGAGCCCAAACCTCTGCGCCAGTGGCTTGGACAAAGATAGCTGCAGGGGTGACTCCGGAGGACCACTGAACTATCCCACTTTATACAATGGCAAACAGCGCTGGGTGCAGGCTGGAATCGTGAGTTACGGAGATCAGAAATGTGGCGAAAATCCGTATGCGGTCTATACTGATGTGGCTGAATATATGGGTTGGATAACCGAAACCATTGCGCAACACGAATAGCCACTCTAATCGAAATTCAAAATTTAAAGGATATTGAAATAAATCATTAACTGCTATTATTCTTAATAACACATCCTTCTTTTCCATGCACTTAGTATATACATATAGAATTCGAAACGGCCGGGATCGTCAGACTATATTCTGCCATGTAACTGATTTATCGCATCTTATCGAATTATATTTAATACAATCAATAAAAATATCTGTAGCGTTCCGTTAGTGACCATTAATTTTTGTTTTCTGTTTGTAGCGTTTTTTTAAACTTTTATGACCCTGACACTGACCCTGGCACTTGCAACCTTTTATCAACGACTCCCGATGTGGCTTCCCGAAAATATTTCAGTGCTGCCAATTCAGCTTTGCACATTTTATACCATTGCAGAGGATATTATAGTTTTGGTCAAAAGTGTGCAACGCAGTAAAGGAGAAACCTCCGACCCTATAAAGTATATATGTATATTCTTGATCAAGATGACCTCCTCAGTTGATATGAGGATGTCCGTCTTTCTGTTTCTACGCGAACTAGTCTCTCAGTTTTAAAGCTATCGACTTTAAACTTTGGACAAACCCTTCTTTTCTATGCACGCAGTATGTACACAAGTCGGAACGGCCGGAATCGGACGACTATATCCTATAGCTGTCATAGGATTCGGCTCCGCTCGAAGTTAGCTTTTCTTTCTTGTTTCATTTTTATTTTACAGTCGCTATTAAATTTATTTGTAAAGTGAAAAATATAAATCTTATCTGGAAGTTATTTTTAAACGCGACTTCTAAGAAAAGCATTGAGTGTACTTATATGATTAAATTTTCAAGACCCTCTACATCAGTATTATGCACTATTTCGAAAAATATCTGATAGCTCTTCTGAACAAGAACTGTAAAAATCAGAGATTTTTATTGAAAATATCAAACATAAAAAACGATGCCTGATTTTTATTTGAAAAGTCAAAAATAAAAATCAAATCGATATATCTCTTAAGTGGCAAAGGCTACTACAAACACTAGCCATAAATAAGCAGAAATATTTACAATTATTTCATATTATTTCATATTTACAAAATTCAAAGTATCATTCCGGCCGATGGTCAACCAGGACCGAAAAAATAAATGTCCATATTCCTCGATTCTTTTTTTGTATTTTCATAAATAAATATCCAAATTTTCATAATCTATTGGATTCATAGCATATCTTAGCTTTTTAAAAAAAAAAAAAGCCCAAAAAGTCAAAAAATGTAATTTTTACCTTTTTTTTTACTTTTAAAGACATTTTTATGTTTATTTATTTCTCAAGGAATTTAATTTTTAAAAAACCAATGGAGATATTTAATTGGGAATAGACTCGATAGAAAGCTACATGCCTCTATTTTAAAAGTAAAGTTATTGCATCAAAATATTCCATTCCAATTCGCAGATTTTTTGATTTTGCTAGAGCAAGCCAAAACCGACGTCCATTTCGCGTACGTTCGCGACCTCATGTTTTTTGCCAGTATTATGAAAATGAAAAATCCATTAGAACCATAATTTACACTAAGAAAAGAACTCACCAAATGCTATCGGAAACAAAAAAAAAAGTGTCAAAAAATGTTTTCTTCTTTAATTTTTTGGCACTAATTGCGTACGAACGTACGTTCGCGACCCCAGGAAATGCCCATATAATTGTCAATGCAAAAAAAATAATTGTCAATTCGCAATTTTATTCGCAAAGAAGAAATAGGAAATAATTGGATTTAAAAAAAAAAAACACACAAAATAATTTTTATTTCTGATTTTTTCAATCAAAAATTAAAAATAAATATATTTTTTTTCGAATAAAAACCAAGAGTAATTTAGTTTTTTAATAAAGTTTTTTGCTCATTTTTTCAAACTTATAATTTTTTTTTTGCTGTACCTGGTTCTAAACTGTTCGGACGCCTAAATCTCATATTCTAAACATTTATTTTAATTTTATTTCGTTAAACGAAATTCTATGATTAATAATGCATTATCTATCAGTGGTACGCCTTCGTCGCATATAATGACTTCAGTGATCGTTCAGTCGCAAATCTAGCTTACGGGAAGAATGTTGGGTTTGAAATTTTTAATTCTGGCAATTTGCCTAACTCTGAGCCTGCAATGGATAGATCCTGTGGATTCTAAAGTCTGCGAGACGCATGACAAGAAAATAGGCAAATGCCGGCGTCCTAAAGATTGCCCGGCTCTTAGTCCTATTGTGAAAAAGCAGAAAGAAGGCATTCCCCTAACCGACGAGGAGCAAAGGTTTCAAAAAGCAGTTTTTAGATGTGAAAAGGTAACTAAAGCAACGCGTGACTTAAAAAATACAGAGTCTAACTCAAGTCTTCTCCTAGAGAAAATTTTTTTGCTGTGGGGATCCATTTAATGCTGAAGGAGTAGACTTGCTGAAAGAAAATGATGAAATATGCGGTATTTTCTCAGACCCTAAGGTTTCAAACGGTGACAATGTTAGAATGGGATCTCGGCCGTGGATGGCCCTACTCGAGTATAATACGACACAGCCTTTTAGAGCACGGTTTAAATGTGGCGGCACTCTGATTACTTCGAGTAAGTTCTATAGAACATTGATCCTATGTCACCTTATTTTATTTTTTTGTTTGACAGAATTTGTCTTGACGGCTGCGCACTGTATCAAAGATACCCTGTAAGTAAAGGATTATTAACTAAGACATATATTTAAGCTATATTTAAGAATCTTTTTTCTAGGGTATCCGTTCGTTTAGGAGAATATGATCTTAATAAGACCGATGACTGTGTGTTCTTTGGCAATGAGAAAATATGTCTGGATAGTCCCCTGGACGTCCCCATAGAAAAAATGTTCGTTCACGGGGGATTTAATAAAACAAGATTAGTGAACGATATAGCGTTGATCCGCCTAAAAGACCCAGTCCGCTTCACCGATTGGATTCGACCCATATGCCTTCCAATGTCACTAGATCTTCAGTTGGAGAGTCAAAGTACAACCAAACCACTGGAGGTAGTCGGCTGGGGGATTACGGAACTTAATCAACTCTCAAACGTCCCCAAAAAGGCATTTATTAGACGTCTGCCATTAACCCAGTGCATCTTCGATATAAGGGACAAACGATTCTGCGCCACGGCCGATGAAGTCGATAGCTGCCAGGGTGACTCCGGTGGACCTCTGGCGTTTCACGCTTTATACAATGGAAAACAGCGTTTGGTTCAACTGGGAATCGTGAGCTACGGGTACGAGAAGTGTCGTGAACATCCATATGCGTTCTATACTGATGTTGCTGAATATATGGGTTGGATAACCGAAACCATTGCGAAACAAGAAAATGGCCCTTAACTGAAAGACCAGCTGTGTTTCTATTGCTACCAAATAATTTGGTGCATAATTGAATTAATCTTTTATTTGCTTTAAAGAATCTTTAAATTCAGAAGCCCAATTAGAGCCTTCGCACTGCAGTATATGGCCGTTCCCTTAATTTTCACAACTTTCGGGGACACCCAGAAAATGTTCCAGAAAATTCTGGCGTAAATTTTGATGATTTGTGGAGAATCGTTCTACAAATCATTTGAGGTATTCTGCTAAAGAATCGGATGTCTGTTGGGTCGAACTGTCTCTCCTATGTAGGTTTACCTTTTTTTAAGGTAGTCCTTCAGAAAACGTGACAAAAGTTTTGTATTCAGAGGTGAAATATTAAATTAAATATTTAAAAAAGGCGATGGTCAAATTCGGGAGGCTAAAGAGAATAAAAAGCGAACCATATGTAGGAACTTAGTATCACATCTCTTAACACATTTTAAAACAACCATTTTTTTGGTAGGCGACTCTTTGAAATGACTAACTTTAGTTTTAAGCAGCTAAGTAAAGTTTTAAAGGGCTTTAATCAATTAATTAAACACTTTCAAGCCCACCAACAGAAAACAGGAAAATGTTCATTTACTATGAAATTTTACTTTATTTTTTATTGTTTTTCTTCATTTCTGTATTTGCCCATTATGTGCTTTACATGTTTGTGATTTGAATTTATTTAGTTTTCTTTATATGCGTTTATAAATCGAATACTCCGAATTTCCACTAATGATATGCGCACCAAACCAATATCAACTGAGCGCCAATAACAGAGAACCAAAATGTAATCACAACTCATAAGGTACATTTCATACTAAAAATTTTTGTATTTATTTAAATTATAAAGAAGGCAATGTAAATGTATACTTCGGAATTCTGTATCTGGTTCAGCATTCATGATCTTTTAAACATAATGTAATTCTCTTATGCGTGCTTAATACAACGCTAATACAAGTTTTATATTTTATATAATGCATCCTTTTTACTTTGTATGGAATAACACTTAATTATACATTCATTTCATATAGTTTGATTTTAGTTCTAATCATAACAAACAAAAAAATGTCTGTGCAGGCAGAATCAATAAACTGGTAAAGTACAAATGAGGGATTTAAGTAATTCATAAATGCAATTTGAAATTGTCTGAAAGATTTTTTAGATAGTAGTTGGTGTCTGATCCTGTTTGTCTTGTGTGTGTGTTTAAGAGTGTGCCGTGTGTGGTTCTCGACTTCCGTTTCCGTTTTGTATAGTATCGAACCACTAAATACTTGTCCATATAAATGATTTTGTTTAAATATTTATTTATATATAGAATTATATATATTTTATGCTATATAATAACTATGCATACTTGCATCTTGCGCTTCATATCCGCTTGCCATCATCGCTTTAGTTGGATATTTTTGTTGTTTATTTTGTAACACTTATATTTTTGGGAATGGGACGAGAGTTTAGGAAAAGTTCAAAAGTATACATGGTTCTTCGAAAGCTTTTCAGTTTTTAGTTTACCTTTTTACTACACATTGTGTATTTGAAAATAAAAAAAATATATATAAAAAGATTACAAAATGATGCTTCTTCCTACGCAGTTGGAACAAAAAATGTAAAAACAAGATCAACTTAAGTTAAAGTACATAAAACATTACAAGACACACCACAAGTTCTACCACAAAATTCAGCTACACTACGATTCTTGTTGTTTGATTGGAGAGTGTTTGTTTGTTGGCTGAGTGCCGGAGGAGACTGGCCTAGGGTCCTCTTCATTCATTCACTGTCGATGTTGAGCCCCACACGCTTCTCCTCCTCGAGCATGGCGTCCAGCTCGTCCGTCAGATTGGCCAGCATGTTGCCGATATCGTTCAGCACATTCACCGAGACCTTTGGCGGCACGCCCGTACTTAAAGCAACACTCGGAGTGGCTGCATCCGGCGAAGTCAACGTCTCATTGGTGGCTCCCGCTGATCCTCCAGCAGCAGCGGCGGCAACAGCAGACGCATCCAGAGTGGGGGAGCGCAGGTGGAGGGCACTCCCGCCACTGGCCGTACTGCCCATGCTTTCACTGCGCGCCAGAGTGGCGTCGTGCAGCGAGCTGGAAGATTTCAGCGAGTGGAACGAGTGCGCAATGTTGGCGATTGTGTTCGTGGAGGAGGAGCTGGAGCTCGAGCTGGAGGAGTGCAGGTGGGCGGGGTGTGGATTGGCCGTACCGCCCTGCAGCTCCTGGCGGTTGAGCAGTCGTTGCTTGATCGTCCCGGTGTTCTCGTTGGCGAACGGTATCGTGTCAATGGAATCAATGCTGGAAGTTGACTTATTGTCGTGGTATTTCTCGCAGTGTATCTCCGCCGTGGTTTGCTGAATAGTGGCGTAGTTTGCATAAATGGGCTGCTGATTGCCACCAGCCCCTGCCGACTGCTGTTGCTGCCAGTGCTGTTGTGCGGCATGTCCATAAAACATGTGCTGCGGCTGCTGTTGTGTCTGCTGCTGTGATCCAGCCTGGGGCTGCACCTGCGTCACCGATCCCGGTGGCACTCCCTCTCCGCTCAGCGTGCGGGAGTTGCGTATGCTGCAGTGACGACGCGGTGGCTCTGGCGCTATCTTCTTCCCAGTCAAAGGACTGCCACTCATATAATTCTGAAAGAAATCAAACGTGTAAGTAAAGGTTCTCTAAGAATATATTTATGGTATGAGGTTGCCTTCTGACTGGGGGTTTGGAAAAGTATTCATTATCAATAAATAGTTCACAAATATTGCGTCAAACTCATGTTTAATGGGCTTGTTTTTATGACAATTATAATTATATTTTATTGTTCATTTAACTCTAGCCCTTATCTGACCTTTAGAAAACAAAAATCAAGGTCGATTTGTGAATTTTTCCATTACTAACATAACCCTTTAGATGTGGCAAGCATCACACTAGACTGAAGGACATTTACCGCTCCTCCCTCGCCACCAGTGGCTGCTCCGTACTCTGCCGCCGCCGCCGCATTCATGTAGTGATGGTGCTCCAGCGGTGGCATCGTATTCAGTACCGCCCTCTGCAGGATTCCCCGCTGCTGGCGGGGCAGCGTGCCACCGCCCTCCTGGTCATAGAGCAGCTCCCGCGTAGCATCGTTGGTGGGTGTAATGTCGCCGTCGTCGTAGGATCGCCGCCAAGCCATGGCGGCTGCATTGCTGCCCAGGAGGCGGGCGGCCGCAGCCTGCTGCTGTTGTTGTTGCAGGAGCTGTTGGTGATGGTGTTGCTGTTGCAGAGTGGCAGCAGCTGCCATGGCCGCGGCCGCCGCCGCCGTTGTGGGCGGACCGAAGTGGCCGTAGTCAGTGGTCGTGTAATGGCTGAAGGTCAGATGGCTGCGCGTGCTGTTGTCGTGGATGTCCTCCAGCGATTCCAGGCTCTTGCCGCGTGGCTGGCGCACCTGCACAAAATAATTACCAAGTTAGTGCTAAGCTCTATATATTTTTTGCAACAAAAACTTAGTTTAAAAGTTTGAAAGTTAAGTTTAAGAAAAAATTAAGAAAACATGAGCGTGCTCTTGAAAGTTCAAGGTTAAGGGTACTTCTGGTAAGGACCCATGCCCACCTTAATGAGCACCACATCGTTGCCGGAGCAGCACTCGTGGTTGCTGCCCGTGCAGTAGTAGGCATCTCCTCCATTGCTGAGACTGCTATTTAAGCAACTACTTCCAGCTGGGGCAGTGGCATTAAGGACACTGCTGGTGGCATAGATTTTCGTGTCGTCCCAAGAGACGCGCGCGGTTGGCACATAGGATGGCGTACTGGGTATGGGCACATTGAATTGCCATGGCTTCCTCTGGTACTCCTGGTGGTGGTACGTCATCACAAACAAAGGAAATCATACAAAAAAAAGACAGGAAATAACGAAAACCAAATTAGGTTAAAATTATAAAATAAAAACTTAAAGAAAAGTGGATAAAAGGATCTAGTGTCTAGTTCTTACCTGCTGCTGGTAGGCATTGGCGCCGCCTGGATTCCACTTGCCACTAATGATGTCCTTAACTCGCTTAATGGCCAGCAGGATCTTCTTCTGATGGCCCAGCTTGACAATGCCAATGTCCTCGAGATCCTCCCAAGTCACTTGGGTTACGTCGCGCACCGTTTTGTAGTTCTGCTCCAGTAACGGCTGGATGTACTCCTCCAGACGCAACAGCTGAAGCCATTCCTCGATCGAGCCCTGTCAATGGGAAACGTCATTATCATTATAATTATCATAAAAGTTGATTGGATTCCGGGTGGAATCATTAGGCTGGCTAATCGCATTTGATTCATGTCATAGACATAGAGATCAGGCCTGACTACAAATTGTCCATGAACTAGTTCAGACCCCGACTGATACGAGGGAGTATATACATACATACTTATATGGATGTGGATGGGTTACATGTGGCTGCTCTGCTGTTTTCCCAGCTCTAATCAGTTGTAATTGATAAGATATGACATAAATCGCGTCAAAGCACTGCCATAAAGAGACGAAAAAAAAGCCAAAACTCGTTGTTGTCGTCATTAAACGGTGGCAGCCTGGGACCCGACTTGCAACCAAATGGGTCTCTACACTCCCCACTTATTGAGAAAAAAGAAACCGGCAAGGAAAACCCATACCCATACCATACATGATGTGTTAATCAGTGGAGCGTCTTTTTTGGCTAAATTGCTTATGATTTCAATTTAATTAAACGCCTTGTCGGCTGCGAAATGGGAGGTGATTGCTCGAGGAGGCCTTTTCCTATGAAGGCCTTTGATTCAAATAACCTTTTACCCTTTGCTGTCTTTAGAGAGCTCTCCACTCGAATGGGTCTTCAGTCGAATGTCACACCAAAACAATTATCATCTATAGTGACTCTACAAGTCCATATGCTAATCGAAATCCTCCAACCATCCAAAGAGAAGATCTCTAACAGGCACGACACATATTTTCATAAAACTTTAACAAAATATTTATCTAAATAACAATTTTGTTTTTGGGTTTTCTGGTGGTGTGGCTTTGGTATTGGCTTCTCCGAAATCCATTAGCAGGTAGCATATGGTATGACACTAAACAGCAGCGGCAGCCATCATTAGAGCCAGGCGGAAAACAGGTTTTTTTTTCGAGAAACTCCGTATGTACCTCAGAAAAAAAAAAATAAAAACTAAAATAAAATAAAATAAAAAGTGAGTGCTACATTTTGAGAATCGAGTCTCCTAACGGGGCCCGGCTTATAAACAACTTCAGCACCTTATGACCCTCAAGGTCGTTCGTTGATTGCGGTTTCTGTTCGGAAACTGAGACTCTCCGGCTTTTAATAACTTTTTCCTTCCCGAACTGGGTACTGTCTTGCTTCTCTGGTATTTCGTTTTACTTCCTTTTTCGTTGCGATAAAGATATAGATGGGTTTTTTTTTTGCGAAAAAAAAAAAGAAAAGAAAGCTGAGAGGCTGCAGAATGTTGGCTAATGAGGGTACCCCGCCCCCAACACCTTGTTGGCCGCCTCTTGACTGATTGCCGGAGAGTAGCGCTATGGGTGATGTAAGTGACTGACACTGGTACTGGTACTGGTACTGGTATGGAGGTGTACATATATACCTACAAGTACCTCCAACCACACCCCAAAGACAAAGAGTACCTATGCCCGAGATCAACAAATATCGAATGGAGCGATAAAAACAAGTACATTGAGAAAAAAATCAATAAAAGTTATGAAATAAAATATAAAAGATATATTTGAGCCTTAAAAGAGAAATATTTAGACCTTCCTAAGACCCTAAAGGGATGTTAGCTATATCCCTTGGCTGATGATACCCAATTTTGAACAGTGCATGGAAGGTAACTCGACCAGAAAACTTGGCAAACTTGCGAAAACAGTCACGGTTCCTTATATAAACAAAAGAGCCCAGCAAAATTCTCCACAGCTAGTAAAATATTATGGCGCATTTTTCAGTTGAAACACAAAACCGTGAGTATATAACAATAAAAAATAAAAAATAAAAAAAAACCAAAAAAAACCAAAGCTGAGGTCATTTCTGAATTTGAAAAATTGCAGCTCTGAATATCTGAAAAGTATAGCAAATCGGAGGTTCAAAGAAAAATAGACTAGTAATTAACTGAAATCGAGTGGAATGTGGCTCCAAAAGCCCGAGAGTTCGATATATATGATCGATAAATACGATAAACGTGGCTAATGATATTTTATGTAAGCTATGCTGCCAGCAGGTGGGTTGCCTTTGAAAGCCAGTGGGTGGGTGGGGTCCGATCCAAATGAATCACTTGCAACTGCAGTTCGTGGCCCGAATGGGTGTTAATCGGTCTTGGAATGCGTCTCGTGGTTGCTTCAAAATTAATGTTAATTTATGGAAGCCGTTTTTGTTGAAGTTCGTTTCCAAGCTAGTGGTCAAGTTTTTGGTCAAGATTTCGAGGGCGACTTGAAAGCGCTGTTTTACATTCAAACGTGAAATGCATAACGATAAGATACAGTTGGCTGCACTTTGTAAGTCACGTACGATTCTACAAATTTTTAAGGTAATGGTGACTAAGTAAGATAAACCCCCGATTTGTGAAGCGGAAGTTGGAGAGGTATGAGAAATGTTCTACTACAGGTATCTATATACTCTTAAATTAAGCTAAATACTCCTTAGTTTATTCACCTCCATATCCATTCATTGAAACTCTTTATTCGGATGGCAATTCTAACTCTGATCTCATTCATCTGGAACCTTGATCTGTCCCATCGATTGGCTAATGATCGGCTTCGATCTGGCCGGCAATTATCCGCCATGGAGCAGGTGCCCGATGGACGATTCCGATTTCAAGTTCATTTCAAGCTTCGGCTTCGACTTTTAATTTTTATTTATTTTCTCAGCTCGCCGTCTTTTTAATGAATTGTTGATGGGAATTAATGTGCGCATATTAAATGAAATTCTTTCATTAACAATAAACTAAAAAAAAAAAAAATAAACTGCTGACGGCGTTTTTTTATGTTCTCCTTTTCTCTTTCGCACTTCGGATGGGAAACAAGTTTATTTCTTTGCTTCTCACTGTTTTTTATGCTTTTTGCAAATGCTTTTTTAATGAAAATATAAAAGATAAGCTGGTAACTAAACAAGCAAATAGCGGAAAGACAGGGTCCCAGATAAATATACAGAGATATATAAAGAGAAAGAGCCGATGGGGTGTTGCCGGCCACAATTAATGCCAATATGGCAATTTGCCAACTGAAACAGCTCCCTGGGAGTTAGTATGTGTGCTAACAGTGACTAAGTTAGTGGGTCTACGTGATCGCCAGTTTAAGCCGAGAGACGATACAACTTTCTTCGCAAAAGATTTAAACCTCTGAGCTTATCGAACGAATAACTCTTGAGATTACCATTAAAGTTAAAGGTAAATCATGATAACGAGTCTCCCCTGTACTATACTATACTGCATCACGAGGTGAACTGGTTCTGGAGCTGATTAGATAGTCATATATGGCATACTATAGACATAGTTCCTATGAACTCACCGGCACAAAGTGCGGCAGATTGTCCAGAACCTGCAGCTTGTCGATGCGCTGCTTGATCCGCTCCCGATGATGCGGATTCTTAATGCCAATGGCCGTGAGATCCTCGGGCGTCATCCTGGCAATGGTCGGCAGATCGTAGCCGGCGGCGATGAAAAGCTGCGCATACTCCTCGTGCTTCATCTCCAGGAGCCAGTCGATGATGAGCTCGTCGTTGCGCTGCCGGTCCACGCTTCCAATCGAGCAGGAGCTGACGGAGCTGCAGCGCGGCGAGGAGAGGGGCGCCCGAATGGAAGCACCCGACGAGGACACCCCCGTCAGGTAGGAGGAGGCCCGGCCGGAATCCAAGCTGGCGGTGCTGTGACGCGAGCCGGAGCCCGCAGAGCCCGACGACGATCCGGGCGAGTCGCGGCCCGGGGACTGGGTTAGGTCGATGCCCTGGTCCTCTTGCAGGGCCAGCTGCTGGTGGTAGTAGACCGCCGCCTTGTGGGTCAGCGGCTCGCGCAGAGTGGCACAGAAAACGGGCGGTGGCGGCACCATGGGCACAGCCGTCTTCCCAGCCGGGGCAGCTCCTCCACTTGCAGCTGCGCCGGGAACTGCACCCGCCGCAGATGGCGCTGCTCCTGGCGAGCCCTGGACTTCGTCCTTGAGGCGCAGGGCCACGCTGGTCTCGCGCGGCAAGTTGAAACCGCCCTCCTCCAGCGAGGGCGACGATACCATGCTGCTCCCGCTCATGCTGATGCCATCATCCGCCTGATTCTGGTGATGGCGCAGTGGACCGCTTAGCCGGTAGAGTGGTATCAGCGGCTGGTGGTTCGGGTGATGGTGGTGCTGCAGTGGCTGCTGGCTATGATGGTGGAGGAGTGTCTCCTGTGGCGTGTCCCCTGGTATCGTTGGCGGTTGCACCTTCTTAGCCAGTGCGGTGGTTGCATGCGGCTTCAGCGATCGATGCATGTTGCTGACGGGCCTCCACTGGCCGCCGGGGCCGTATTTTCTTGTCCGACTCCTGTTCGAAAAAAAAGAAAAAGAAATAAACAGAAACGACGATGAGTGACTGCTGTGGGATAGAAATGTGGACGCCAGATGTGTGTCCCAGAAAGCGAGAAATCTGCATAATTGGCCAGAGTCGCAGTTATAGACCGTTTTTGATGTTTGGGTCTAAAAATAGGGCCCGGAGGCAATGTTTACATGGCGATGTCGAGTCAATAAACTGAGCTATGGGTTCTCCAGTTTCCTCCTCCCAGAGACCTATGTAGCTGGCAGTCCTCCCTCCTTCTTAATAAACTCCCCCTCCACCCCCAGCATCGTATTACACTTTTCATTCACAAAAATTTGTGGTGCTCTCTAGTGGAGACTTCAGAGTACCCTGTACTTCTCTAGACTTTTAGATTTTTTATTAAATAATTTTAAATTAAAATAAAAAATAGATATAGTAAGTATTTCTTAATTAAAATAAGAAATACTAATACTAAGTAAATACTTTCCTTAAAACTATCTCAACTATTCTGCCCAAAATACCCCAGATGCTCCAAAAACAAACACACCCATAGACGAGTCTTAGCGGAGAACTAGAACATGGTGGGGGCAAGAGATGGCACGAGGCCCTGAGAAAGAGACAGGGCGAGACCAGAGCAAGAGACAGGGCGAGACCCGGCGAAAGGGCGAGGGCGAGGGCTTTCTGGCAGTGGCACGAGCTGTGTCAAAGTTCGTTGACTGCATGTTGTGGTTTGGGGGACAAGCGGCGAGAAGCGAGGGGCGTGGCAAGGGGCGAAGCTGCTTATGGCCGTCTGTCTAGTCGGCAGCGTCATAATACACTCGAAAAATGCACGGGCAGACCTCGGGCAGAGCCGGCTGGCCAAATCTGGCGAAAAGTCACGAACCAGCCCCTCAACATGTCATTAACGGGGCATGCCACCGATTTACGGGGAAGTGATTTACAAAAAAAAAAACAGTGGCAATTACACTACAAAGTATTCAAAAATGCACTTTGAGAAAATATTAGAGCTCTGCATGCCACACTCCTGCCCCTGCCTGCCACCATTATTGACCGACGTGGACACCTGTTCGATTGAAAGCCCGGCGAGTGCAGACTCCAGGTGTCATAATCCGAGAGAGTTGGTGCGTGGGTGTGCGCATACCTCAGAGTGTGTGTATGTGTGTGTGTGTGTTGCAGGAAAACGCATATAACGGTAGCAGTAGTAATTCTCATTTACCAGCCTGGCCGGCCGGACCTGCCGATTGCCGCTTGCCTGCGTTTTTTAATGAATTTTTATGTATGCGACTTATCAGGGGGGGTGAGGAGGAAGGGGCTGCAATCCGAAAACCGAAAACTGCAACCGGAATATTTTTGCTGCAAAAAAGAGAGTAATCTCTCCAAAGAGAGAGTTCCCAGCTGGGGAGAGTGAGAGTAAGAGAGACCGGGAGCGGCAACTCTGGAGTAGTAGGGTAGTATATCAACTGCAGTGCCGAATGTGGGTTGCGGTTTTTGTTGTTCTTGTACTCTTCTGGCCGCCCACACACAACGCTCCCCCCTCTCTTTGGGTGCACCGCCCGCGGATAACCAACCAACCACCCACCCACCTAACTATCTACCCACCAGATGTTGTTGAACCGTTATATGCGGCCGGCATTGCAGTTTCTTTCAAAAATGTTGTCTTTTTTTGTTGTTATTGTTGTTGTTGTTGTCTTGCACCCCCGGTTCTGTGTTATTCCATTTTTATGAGTTACCATTGTTGTTAGGAGCTGTAAGTTTAATTGCAAACATGGCCAACAGGCGCACCCCCAATCACTTAGAGAGGGGGGTTAGACCATTATAGGAATTATTTAAAAAAAAAATTAAGAAAATTTGACTTATTTGTGTATATATTAAAATGTAGAGTAGAGTGTAGAATTTTACACAAAAACTGTTAATTTTTTAAGACCTGTATTGACAACCCTGTTTTCTCTCAGTGCCTCCTGCCTGTTGTGGGCGGTGAGTAATCATAATGAGCATAACACTTGCTTTGTCTAACCATATATCCAGCTTTTGGCTTCAAAAATGTTTATATAAAATCGAAATCAATTTCAAATCCATTCAGCGATTTCCCCCATGACGAGGCTTCACTGTGGGCAGCAGCATAAAAACTGATTGGAAATGCAATTGGAGGCCTGGGACCTTACTGGGTGTTTGGAGCAATAAAGCATAAGTACAAAGGGGAAGTATAGTAGTTAGGGGGGGGCGCGGAGGTCTCGGGAAACAGGCTGAAAGATTTATTGATTGTCACACACACACACACACTACACACATGTATCAATACATGTATAGGCCGTAACAATGAAGCGGAGTTGCGGTTTTGAAGTTGGCAGCAAAAACGCTGAGCAACTAAAAATAATTATGGTTACACCAGGGCCCTCAACACACACACACACACATACATAGTCACTGATAAAAAGAGAGAGAGAGAGAAAGATGAATGAGCTAGAAAGCTTTGATGGAAGACCCTGCTTATAGGACTTTTTGGACATTTCTTTCGTTTTTAAAGAAATCCTTAGTTTTTTTTAAACTTTTTCTTTAAAATTTCCTTTTAACTCTATGAAATACAAGTTGTAGAGAAAGTTCATCAAGTTTCAAGAAGTCTTAGTCTTTGATACCCATTCCAGCTTTATCTCTTGGAACCACCATGGTCTTTTCAACACCTTCGTCTTTTCTAATCTGATTCGTATCCATCGAATGACAACCGAAAAGTGTATTTAATCTTCGCTTTATAGTTTCCCCCCCTATTTAGTGTCTCTGTCGCTCTGTCGAGGGCCGTTAAAGTTTACTGGCATGAGTAATCAGCCAAATGGAGCGCAATAAAATGGCAAACGGTAACACGGCCAATCTATCACAAGCCTGGCCACCAGCCTGACCAGCCAAACCACCCCCATATACGGCTATATATGACAGTCTATCCTAACCGATATACTATGTATACTACCACCAGGCAGGAGGTCCGGACCGGGCCGGGTGGGGCATCAAATGAGGCGCATCTCAATCTCATGTTTATTAACGCTGATCAACAGTCTGTGCTCGAATGTGTGTGCTGGTGTCATTAAGCCAGATAGATAAAGGAAGGCCCCCCACTCCCCCCCTTGAGGTCCACCCCACTTTCTGGCCTCAACACTTCATTATTGACAACAAAAGGTTGCTCGACTCGGCTCTGTATTTATCAGCTGCGGGTGCTTTGCATATGACATCTTCTTTATTTTTTTCTCTTCACTCTTTCACTCGCTTTGTGGTTGTCTTTTTTTATCCAACTGTCCCTTATTTCCTTGTTTTTTTGTTGTTTTTTTTTTGTATTTATTTGCCCGATATGCATTGGGCCAAAACTTTTGTGGTACTTGGTTTTTTGTGTTTACCACGCCCCGAGTCGAGCCACCACTCTTGAGTAAAAAAGGTCTTTGTAGTCTTGCCAGAATATTGGAAGAAAGCTACAGATGCACTGGAAGAAATGTGTTTAGGAGGGAGTATTTTTAAGGTTCTTTTATATAAGGATATATATGGTCTATAAAGTAGTACAATATTGTAAGGAAAAAGTATCTCGAAAGTGAGATATTTTCAAGAGACTCTGGCTGCAGCAACTTTATTAAAGCTATCTGGTACCTTTGAGATATTTTTAAGATACTCTTGTCTATTTTAAAGATACTTTTCTTAGAGCTTTAAGAGCCGAGTTAAGGCCTGTAGAGTACTGTAATCTTTCTAAAGAAAAGGTATCTCATAAGTGAGATATTTTCAAGAACTCTGGAAGTACTTTGAGATACATATTTTTAAGATACATATTTGTATCTATTTGAAAGATACGTTTATTAGTACATGGTTCTATAAAGTCCTACAATTTTTCTAAGGCAAAAGTATCTCAAAAGTGAGATATTTTAAAGAACTATGTATGTAAGTTTATCTTGTATCTTTAAGATATTTGTATCTATTTTAAAGATACTTTTAATAAGATTAGTATCTGGTTCTGGTCTATAAAATACTACAATATTCGAAGGAAAAAGTCTCTTGAAAGATATTTTTATTTGAGAGATATTTTAATAAAAACTGCTATTAACTTTATTAAAGCTATTTAGTATCTTTAAGATACATATTTTTTAAATACTTTTTTCTATTTTAAAGATAATTTTATTAGAGATTTTAGTGTCTGGCTTCGGTCAATAAGTTACTACAATATTCCAAGGAATAAGTATCTCAAAAGTGAGATATTTTCAAGAACTCCAGTAGTAAGTTTATCTTGTCTTTTGAAGATATTTTTGTCCATTTCAAAGATACATTTATTATAAATTTCAGTGCCTTGTTTAGGTTTATAAAGTACTACTATAAAGTAATATTCTAAGGAACGAAAAGTATCTTAAAGGTGATATATTTTTTAGGTCTATCTTGTCTCCATAAGATTCCCCTTTTCTAGTCATTATTACAATACTTTTCCCTCAGTGCCTCCAACTATCACCACCGTGGAGCGAAAACAACCAACAACTGCACAAAAGATGGTGTCGATGATGCTGCCTACTTGCCTCTGCCTCCGCCACTGCCGCTGCCACAGTGCCCCCTCTCTCTCTCTCTCTCTCGCAACCAAAGACACTGTCGATAGCTGGAGATGTTGATCTTGCAACTCTGGCAACAATAAATGGCCAGCGGCAGCCAAAACTTGTTTTGCCTGTAAAAGGGAGTTGCTCTGCTCCGCCGATGCAGTTGCTCCTCGGTGTCTCTGCATTGTCTCTGCGTTTTGTTTCAGGTTTCAGGCAAACGACAAGAACATAACAGCTATATGAAGTATGAAGATACCCTGTAGAAGATACTATAGACTTTAGCAAAGCAATTACATTTCAATTATAAGGACTTTGTCTCGAGAAAGTTGAGAAACTAAATTACTCTAATTGGTGTAATTAAATTGCCGTTTCAGTTAGTCCTTTGACTTGGTAGATCTCTGACTATCTACGACTATGAATAAAAGATGTCCTAATGGAAACCCAAATCAATACCAATACCAATACCAAAATTGTCAATGGCCCGTCATGACCACATGTTTGATTTGGAATGGCCAAATTAGGAGAACCACCACCACTACCACCATTACCCACCCCGTTCTGGGTTAGTCCGCTCCAAATTCCTTGCAAAAACCCGATATACCCCGGGAGTACCCTTTTATGGATGAGGAGGAGAAGGAGCGGCTGGAGCTCGTAGGAGGCTAAATGCACCACTGGAAGATGTGTCAAAAGTGTGGGCGGGCGGGAATACAGACTGTACAGGCGGACAGACGGACAGTTGGACTGGCGGACGGATAACTTACGTGCAGTTTAACGGTTAATGCAAACGAAGACGACAACCAATGCGCTGCGTTGCGCATATGGTACGAGCAGCAACAACAATAACAACAACAACAACAAATCAAGAGACAGACCAAATACGGCGGACTGGCAGGCACGTATAGAAATACTCGTACTCGTACCATCGTTTCCTTGGCCAGCAGTACTTCTTTTTTTGGTCAAGAAGAAAGGGGCAAGAAGGGGCAAGAAAGGGGGCAAGAGCGAAGCGAACAAGTTGTAAGGCGAGCAATGAGTGCAGACAAAGGTTACACTGCAAAAAAAAAAGACTTGCAACTTGATAATAGAACCTATATCTTAAAGGTTCCTGGATTTAAGCAAATCTTTCAAGGAAGTACTGTTAGTTTCTTATAAAGACCCTTCTTCAAACCCTCTATACCAAAATGAAGCTCCATATATTTCATTCTTCTTCAGTTACAGTTAGTTTCTTCTTCAAAAAAAGCAGGCGGGGGAGGTGTAGAAAGGGAGTGAAAGACAGAGACATGAATAATGGAGCGTTTACAGCTACATTGAACTTTTGAAGATTTTTCTTTTTTGAAGCACTTGCCTCTTGCCTCGCCCCACAACCGCCCACCGCCGAAAAAAAAGCGTATGCGGCTTACTACTACGCACACACACACCAATGCATAGCACATATACACACACACACACGCACATACACATGCGTAGGCTTTTTCGCGAAACAACTGTGCGAAAAATATGAAAATTACCATTTTTAGAAGCTGATTCTCCCACCGATTCTCACAAATCCCTTCGATGGGCACTCGAAATGGGCATTAGGACTCGATTTCACTTGAATACCAATTGATTTTTCATATGAAAATTCTGTGCAAAAATTTCTTTTTGGCCAACACCAATACACTCATAAAACACACAAACACACACGGACGCGAGCGTATACCGAGCAGAAAAGCTGCTGCCTTTTGGCTCTTGTATAGTTGGTGTTGTTGTTGTTGTAGGTGGCAAGGAGAGAACGAACGAACGGAACGTAGCGACGACGACCGCAAGCCAAAGCGTATTGAAACGCGGCTCCAGCATTCGGTTTAAGCCAGGTCCGTGGCGGAAAATCGGAGTCGTCCATAGGTCCTCCAACTTCCAGCTCGCGAGAGAGAGAGAGAGAGGCTCTGGAGAGCGAATGCGCAACTTGTTTGTGGCACTGTCTCTCTCTCTCTGGGGGCTAGAGAGAATCGCCTCCAATTTTGTCTGCGGCCTGACGGGCCAATTTGTTGCAATTGAAACAATAACAATTCCACAGGGCAATTTGTTCGGGCCTGGCAAATTAGTTAGTTAATAAATGAAAGAAAGCCAGAGCCAGAGCCATAGCCAGAGCCAGGGCCTCGAGAAGAAATGGGAAAGCGAAGCTTCGATGAGGAGGGCCGGCCAGCAGGGACTATTCACTTAAGTGGTTGCCGTGGCAACTATGGAAATGCATTCCTGACAGTGGCTAGAGATACTTGAACTATCAGATACAATATCTTAGTATGTAAAAGATTTAAAAAAAAGTATAAATACTATATCTATGATTTTATTTATAAAATTTTAAAATTTATTAAAAATATTAGTACTTTACTATATTTCCTCCACTTATAACCCAACTATCCCCACTGTACCTCGAATGCCACACAAAAGACAAACAAACCAAAGCACACACACACACACTCACTCAAAGCCAGCACAACCACTTTTCATGCCGCACAAGCCAATAAGAGAAATAGAGAGTCCCACAGAGAGAGAGAGAGCTCCCCAAGCCAAAAAAAAAAAAAGTCTCCATCTCTAGCTCCACATCGAGTTGCGGCAACTCTACTTCAGATACGCGCAGATGCGTCGCTCTCTCTCTCATCGGCTCTCGCTGTAATCTCTTATTGGAGCCATTACCCCCCACCCTGCCGCCCGACCATAATTCTAACACTTCATTGGAGCAGGCTCGTTGCGACAACGACTTCGAGTTATTCGATTCCCACACAAATCTCGGCGTGACGACATCAAATCGACGGGATAAAAACGACATCAGTTCGCGCGGGCTTATGTCGTTTTAAAAGGGAAATAGGAAAAAATTAAAGATATGTTTTTACTTTTTTTTTTATTTAAATAAAAATATTTAAGTAAAGAAAATTAGTAAATATTTAATAGTTAAATCTTTATTGTTGGACTGTAATTTTCCATAGTTTATTTAATATTTGAATTTATTTTAAAGTTCAGTAGGGTTCTTAAAAAAAAACTAATAGTTTTGCAATTTTTACCCTGATAAAAGTATTATTATCTTAATATATTATTATATTTAATAGAATTGCATAATAGTATAAAGTTTTCGGCATATTTGGTTCTAATGTTGAAGTGTTTTATTATTAATATCTAACTTCTATGAATTTTAGATCGATGCTGGATCATCTGAACTCTAAAAATCAAAATTATATTGCTAGATAATTGATTTTCTTAAATAACACTGGAAGGGTTTTAAAAAATTTTAATTCTTCAATTTTGGGCGGCAGTTTTAAACAAAATATTATATGATTTTCAAAAAATATCAGGCTTTTTGACAAAGAAAGTCAAGTTTTTGTAATAAACTAAGTTTTGACTTCATTTTTATCAAGTAGTAAGTAGTCTCGAAGCTATGATGATCTTAATGGTGAAAACTTACTATAAAAAAAACTTAATAATTAACTAACTAAATTCCAATTTAGGCCCAATATTTTTGAGATTTTAGACAATTTTAATTTAAAACCATTTTAATTTTATTAAAATATTTTATTTAACATTTTATTTTAAATGTTAAAAACCCTATATTTTCGTAAAAACGACATAGACTCTTTAGAGCCTTGGTGCTGGCCAAGTTAATGTCCACAAATCTCAGTATAGCTCGCCCTCGCTTGCTCTCTCGCCCGCTTGCTCTCCCCCATCTTTCTCCCTACCCCCCCATCAACCGTTTCATTATGGCAAGTGAGTTATGGGAGTTTTGATGGTGTGCGAGTGTGTGCTGCGCTTTCTATTGATTTATATGAGTTTTATGGCGCAATCTGAGCCGCTCCAACAACAGGGTGGAAAGAAGAAGAAGAACCTGCAACGCGCCCTGCATTTTGAATTAAAAAACAAGACAAAGCGGAGCATTTAAACGGAATAAATTATGCAAAAAAAAAAATATAATAAAAAATAAAATAAAAGCAAACATCTATTAAAATACTCCCCCGCTTCTCACGGCAGCCAGAGTTGTCACGCGTCCAAATCCCACTGCGTTGCACTCGAGCATGACGCGCCAAGAGGCCCCAGACACGTGTTGGTTTTATTAATTACATAAGCCCGGTTGCTGCAGCTGCAGTTTGGTATTGTTTTCGGCCCTTTCGCTTCTCTTTCTGCCACGGAAACCCAATTTCCTGCAGATGCTGAAGATGCCGCAAAATGAAATACACCAACAGCTGGCAACCCTCGCCGAGTGACAGATGGCGCAGCCAGCGCAGGCAGCGACGTCGGCAGCGCAGGACGAAGCGGCACCAAAACAAAAACACCGAAAAGATGCCGCCGCTTCACATTAATTAGTAAAAACACTTACTTTTCAATTAAAGCCAACTATTCTCCAACTTGTTGGACGCTCGAATGCTTCTCCAGATCTTGGGGCTGAACAAATCACATTAATTACGAGGAGAACAACGAAAGCTGGCGTACGGGGCACAGCCGAATATGTAAACAATGTAAAATTGTGCCAGGCTCGTAACTGTTGTTGTCGCTTAATGAATTTCACGTTTTTTATGGCATTTTCCACACAAACACAGCGCGGGGACAAACAAACAACAAGACACAAGAGACGACGCACACAGGTCAACGTTGTTTGTCTTTATTTTATGTCTGCGGCGCGCGAGTGAAACATAAAAAACCAGATTAATTTCGTAGCAGCCGAAAGGTTGTCTTTTTTGGTTTCTTTTAAGCTGTGCTTCTTGCGCAGTTGTTGTTTCTGCTGCTCATAATTGTTACCAGCGCCGCCGCCATTTTTTTAATAACTTTTTTTCAACTTTAGCATTTTTACTTTATTTTTTCAATTTGTTTTAATTAAGGGTTCACTTTCTTGATTTATTTTGTGTTTTTAATTTTTGAATTATTGCCCGACTGCCGCTTTTTCCGACGGAAACCGAGTTCGAAAGAGCTGTTTTTCCGAAACACAACCGCTCGCGTCTATTTTCTCAGAAATTTTGTTTGCATTGAAATTAGTGTGGCCAGAGTTAGAAACAGCTGTTTTCCACCTTTGTTTTGTTTCTTCATCCTGGGCTTACCGGTTCAATAACCCGGTTCGCTTAAAATTTTAAATTAAGAAATAATTTAAACAACAAAAGTTACATAATAAACTAATAATATTGCAATCGCCTGTTGTTTATATTGTTTTAGTATTCAATTTACTAGCTTCAACTTGTTTTCGACTAGCTTTTTCTTACATTTTCTTCAAACCACAGAAATGTAACACTGGAGAGTATTAAAGAATAAAAAAGAAAATAATAAAATATACAAAATTAGTAATGAAAGTTTCAACACATGGCAGAATTTAATAAAGAATATTTGGAAAGAAAATCATTTTAAAATGTACTCCCTTTTCCCGCTCAAAGTATACTGCTTTTAAATTTTCACCTTTTTCTCGAAAAAATACTACAAAATATTATATGCCCACTTTGATGCCCCAGTAGCTGGTCACACTTCCGCTTGAACAACCCTATTTCCCTGTTACTTTAAGAAGAATAAATTGTTAAAATAATTGCGAGGCCAACTATAGTTAATACCCAAAGGTTACCAATATATATTTGGCCAAAGCAGATGGCGCTAAAATATCTGGAAGGAAACTACCGTCCATGCTTTTGAGACTTTTGTGATCCACAAGGCCCACAGGCTCCACAGGTTTAATTTATTTAAGCCAAATGAAAAGCGAGCCATAACAATTAATTGAACGTGTGCAAGCGAGCCAGGGTCTCGATTAAAATGCTTATAACTTTCTAGTTGGCCGTAATTCTGTGTTTCGTGTTGTGTTTTTGATTGTCTCCGTGTTTTTGTGCGGCGTTTCTTTCGTATTTTTGTGGTTAAATAAACCGACCCAGTGGCGTAAGTGTGCAAATACGGTGAAATTGTTTATATTAAATATATTACATGGTGATAGCGGCTTTTGGATAATTTTGCATTCGCCGACGGCGGCACAATTAGAAAATGCAAATCAGTTAAAAACAGGTTGTCGCACTCTCTCTCTGTCGCACACGGCGGTATTTGTTGCTGCAGCTGCAGCACTGTTGTTGCCACCTAGATACTTTTAACAGTTAATTCCGCTCAAACAGTGAAATGCCGAAAGAAAAGATACTCGAAGAAAAGATGCCAAGTAATAAGCGAATAAGTAAAAATAAACTAATTTTCACAGTTGCTTTAGGGTGCCAATTCTTTTACCTCTCCAGCTTTTAATTTCTTTTTTGGTATGAGGGCGTTAGCATGATTCATTGCCGTTTGTTTTCTTCTCTTTGTGTTTATCTCCATTTTTGAGGAACAACAACAACTACCTGTGGAATGCACTCAGTTCTGTTTGGTGGCCGAAATGTCAAAGTTGACGTTTCACGAAGGCGGGATTTTGAAATAGAGAGACAGAGAGAGAGAGAGAGAGCTATTGGAGCTATCTATTTTAATTTTTTAAATTATAATTTTATTTTCTTTCTTTTGCAGTGTCTCTTTTATCTATCCGCGTGTGTCTCTCTGTGTTCCGTCTTATCAAGTAATATAATAATCATTTTCCAAAGCCAGCAAATGCAGAAAATGCCCTCGCAGATTCTGAACGAAGGCAGCAGCGGCAGCTTGAACAGTGCCTCCCTAATGGCCAACACTCCGAACAGTATTACAGTAAAGACGGCCTACAATGGCCAGATCATCATCACCACCATCAACAAGAATATCTCGTACGAGGAGCTCTGCTATGAAATTCGTAATATTTGTCGATTTCCCTTGGATCAGGTTAGTCTCTCTCACTTATAAATAAATCCGTATTAGTTATAATAATATTTTTATTTTATTTTAGCCCTTTACCATTAAATGGGTGGATGAGGAGAATGATCCCTGTACTATATCAACGAAAATGGAACTGGATGAAGCCATAAGGCTGTATGAAATGAACTATGATTCCCAATTGGTTATCCATGGTGAGTTGAAGCTGAAAATTACTCATACGCACTGTATACAAAGCTAAGGGAAGGTTCTTTATGGGTGTATCTGTAAGAAGACTGGAGGACCATGCTAAAAAGTGAAGCTATTGTTACCTTTTAAGGACTATATATGTACTAGTATTATTTAATGGATAAGTTCCTTTTAAATATAAGTTCCCTTTATCTCTACATAATTGTATCTTCTCTCATAATGGTCAACTATAAACCGACCATCCTCCCACAATTATTCAAGTTTATTCCTCTGATTAAATACCTTTCAATTTATTTTGTGCTGCGACCGCAAAATATGCAATAGGAAATAAATTGGCTTGTAAGCAAGGTCTCGTCGGAGGCTCCAATATTTAACCAGGCCCATAAACATTCAGGCCTGATTAAACAATGTGAGAGCACACCGAGTCTTATTAGCTCAATAAACTTGAGTCTGAGTCTGCTGCCGGTTGGTGTCTTCCTAAAGGCAGCACCAGGCATCTACTCGACTTAATAACATAAAATATTAATTAACTCGTACACACACACACGTTCACATGTTTGAGAGAAGGAAAGAAGAAGCCTCATGTCTTACGGCAATTGCCTTCAGCAGGCATCTTTCCTGGATTTTGGTTATTTTTTTCTTTTGTTGACTTTTCCCCATATTTACATATAAATTCTGTTGGTTCTGAGGCTCTCCGGCCTCATTTATAATTCATTATAATTAAATTGTTTGCTCCGTGGGGCTTTTAAGTTTTTCTCATCGGCGGCCCTTTTTTTGGCGTTTTAATTTTCTTGTTTTGCGGTTTTCGGCGAACTCACCCATGTGAGTTTCATGCTTAATTATGCCAGCCGCAAAAACAAAGGGTTTTATTTACCAAATGACAAACACTAAATCCTTTCTCACACTTAATTACGGCCAAAAAATTGAGGGGATTTCAAGTTAGAAGCTTAGGGGTCAACCAGAAATACTCTGTTTTTTCCAAAAGAATACCAAGTTTTTTTTCGAAAAAATCCTTTAGTAATTTATAATAAGAGTTTTTTTTGGTATTTTTTGTTAATTTATTAAATTGTATTTTTCCTTGTTTAACCTCCGAGAGAGCATCAAGTCCTGCAAGTTATCTGCATTATCCATGGTCATGCCATACCTGTGGTCATTCTGGTTTCAGAAAAAAGGGCAGGCAACTAACGGCCCAGCAGATATGATAACTGCCAGTCGCACTAAACAAAGTTCGCTGGGATGGCGGCGAGGGGTGGGGAGGGAGGTGTTACAGTTTCCGCTTCCCTTTTCGGTCGCCATTGTTTTTGTGCTGGGACCAAGCTTCCTGATATTGTGTGGCCATTTGGGCTACCCGTCTCTTTCATTTGTAACTCGGATATGGGAGGAAAAAAAAGAAAGGGAAAAAGAAAGAAAAGAGTATGGGGATAACATGTTGTGTTAGTTGTTGTTGCTGCTGCTGCCTTTTTTGTGTTGTTATGTGGCCACGTGTGAAAAAATGCGGCTTAAAATGTATTAAAAGCATTCTGTATGCGTGAGTGTGTGGGGCATTGTCAAGGTATACCGTTACACGCACTCCTGCATATGCTTTCGAGCCATAAAAGTTGTTCTCTGTATGTGTGTGTGTGTGTGCGGTTTTTGTTGTTGTGTTGATTAGTAAATGGCTGACAGTGTGTGTGTGTTTTGTGCATTTTTACAAGCCCTTGTTTTGGCTCGTGTATGTTTTCTCTTTTTTTTTTTTTTTTTGTTTTTTATCCTTGGTATATATGCTCTTGGCTTACCTTCCGGCTTCATCTCCGGCCAACAATGCCTCGACTCTCCCCGCTCTTCCTTCCTTCCCGCCTCTCGCCACCCCACTTGGCCCTGTAAACAAAACAAAACAAAAAACCAGGCTCTGAAAGCTACCGTTATAATTTATGCGCCTGCAATATGGCAACGCTGCCCTGTTCGCTCACACAGCGAAAACTTTGTCCAGGTCCGAACAAGTTTTTGGAGCCCGTAAGGTCGATACACAAGATGCCGTTACCCGAGAGGCCAAGCGCGGGGACGGCCAAGCGAAAAGAGAGGGAGGAGCACGGCCGCAGGATGGAGAGCATTTCCCCAGTCGTAACAAAAAACAGCTGAGCCGAGTGTCGAGGCATTGCCATTTTGTATGAGCGCGAGGAGTATGCACAGATGGTAATGCCAAAAGCGCCGGTCTGCGGCTTTTATTCGCTCTCTCCCAATGGCCATAAAGGATACTTCGTAGTCAAGGAGAGAGGTCTGCGTCACCTGACATTGAACACTCTCCAGCTTTTCCGTTCACCCACTCACTCTCCACTCCCACCCTCTCTCGCGGTCTCGGCCAAAACCGAAATTTCCCTAGCATACTTCTCTGCATCGGTATTTCACTCGCGCGTTGGCCGCTCGCCTGTGTGGAAGTGCCGTTACGGAACTCCGGGACAAACGAAAAAACAGTAAAACAGTCGCGTCGCACACACAAACACACGCACACATACTGGCACAATGTATATAATTATATATATATACTAATACATGATTTGCACAAAAATACGTATACGACACGTAGCCAACGGGTGAATAACGCGTTCCAACGGTGTGAATTCAAATCCAATAACGGCAAAGAAAATGTAAAAATAAGCAGTGTTCGACAACATAATTTCATATAATTATAAACATTTCGCTAGTCACTCACTCACTCACTGACTCGCCAGACTTCCCTTCGGCAGTTCCCCGAAAATCTCACGGAAAAAAAATCAATTGCCCCCCGGGCAACATTTTTTGACGGTTCTGTTCTGGTTCTGGTTCTGGTTCTGGTCCGCTGAAGTTGTCGTACATTCTTGATTAGTTGCCATACAATTTGTGTCTCGGGGGAGCAGAAGGCGCAGGATGGCTAAGGACGAGAATGATTAACATAAATTTGTGACTCTTCAGTGATTGAGGTGGAAACTTTTCAAGTGGATGTATCAGATGATTCTGGCCTGGGAATGAAATCAATATTTGTTCAAACCTAATATTATAATAGAGTTTTTAACAAAGATTATCCTTAAATGGCTTAAAATAATACAAATCCTTTGAAAGCCCCGATTTAAACCTTTAATTTCTTGTATTCCCAATGGAAATCCCATCCAAGCCCCACACTATAGATTTCCAATTTTTTTCGTGGCCATGAGTATAGTTTTTCCTTTTTTTTTCGCTGGATGGCTGCTGGATGCCAGACACTGGCAAACAAAACCACACTCTGGCACACACTGACTGGCGAGCGGTGAAATGAGCTGATGTGTGTGTGTTGGAGAATCCCCACCCTAAACTTGACCCCAGGCATTTGCACTTCATCAAGCACTGCCTGCACTTCTGCCACCGTCTGGTTGCCAAAAACTTGCTCCCCGAAAACCCACTCATATATGTATATATATCCATACTAGATGGATATCCATATATGTATATTTTTCTGGGGCTGGTAAGTGAGTCAGTGTGCTAGTGAGATGCTGCAGGGCGAAACAATTTCCTTTTATTCTTTTTTTTTTTGGAAAGCGTTTTGTTGGCCAAGCTGTCGCCCTGCCATTTAAACTTGTTTTCTTTTCTTTTCTTTTTGGCCCGAAGGCTTTCACTCGGCACACCTGGTGCGGTGTGGTGCGGTGGGAGGCCTCCTTCGCAAAAGTTAAATCAGCAAATTTCCACTTATTCTTTTTCCTGCCCACTGTCAGAGACCCTTGGGTTGTGTTTCACTTTTTCTTTTTTTTTTTTTTTTTGAACCTCTGGGAGATTTTGGTTCTCGTTTCAGTTGCTGGCTGGGCCCATTATGATTGTTTGGCAAATTTTAATGATGCCATTGGGCTTAATGAAATTATTGTTAGTTCAGCAAACAAGAGACCGACCCTCCTTTGGCCTTTCTCCGAGTGGGCAGGGTGGGCGGTTTCGAAGGATGAGGCAAATGTAAGCGGTTGAAGGTTGGTAGGCCCTGGAATTCTATATGCACATGACGTCCGATTTAAATTTCCATCAGAGATCTATAGAGCTAAGAGCAAATACTTTAAATATAAAAAAGAAGTATAATTTTAAATATTTTTCTAATGCTTTTTCTCTCTGTGTACTGGCTTTCTGATGCTCCTTGGCCTCGCATCCTTTTCCTCTCGCTTTCGTGAAATTTTACAACTGTCAGGAGGCCGGGGAGCAGGTGGAACTGACGGTGGCGCCTCTTGACGTCACTCGGAAAGCCAAATTGATGTTTAACTATTGATGATCCTGGGCCAGCGACGACCCGTATCGGGTAACCGTGGACCGGGTGGAGGTCCAGCCATCGGCTGCTTAAGTTTATCGTTCTTGGATCCCAAACTTTCAGACAAGACCCCCCCCTTAAATGGTCAATATTTTGGGCCTGGGGGCGTCTCGGGCCAAATATCAAAATTTTATGGCTTTGTGATGTAAGGATGCAGAGACCATAAAGCTTCTTATGCTTTGATTACTGCAGCAAACAACATCCATATACTTATTCCATCTTAAATGGGTTTCATAAGAAGGGATTTCAATGTTTTTATAAATTTAAGGTAGGTATTTGCCCATTTCCTGGATATTTGTCTACAATATACAATTCAAATGGGGACCGAACCAGAACCAGATCCTAAGATAATATTGGAAAGGTAAACAAGACAAGGAGAGCAACTTGATTAACATTTTCATCAATTCTAAATCAGCTTTAATCTAGTTTAGTGCAGAGGAGGGCGCCAGGATGCTTGGATCCTGGTAGGTTGTTGGGTTGCTATCCTTCCATTCTGGACAAACAAGCTGGCAACCAATATTCATGCTCCAATTGCAGGGAAAACAATGCCGGCGGAGGAGTGTTTATATTTAGCAAGCGCTGCAGGCTCCCAACCACCCAGCCACCCATAGGATGGAGGAGGGAGTCGACTAAATTTAATTCCGAAATGCATCAGCTCCTCCTGGTTGTGCCCTCGCCATTGGAGACTGCTGCATCAGCAGATACTAGTAAAGAAAAAGCAAAAAAAAAAAAACACCAGAGAATGGGGAAAATGAGTGTCAAACAAAAGGATCTGCTTGCCCTGTCACGACAAGGCTCTTGTGTCGAGTGGATGCTGTCCACCTAAGGACCTTTCATCCTCCTCACAAGCAAGGACCTCCTTTTGCTAGCTGCCACTCCCGCCACTCTTGCTACTTGTTTTCGACCCACTTCGACCCTCGTTAATCATGCGAATTATGCATGAAAGTGGAGTACTTAATTTCAATTGTCTAAACAAGCGATTTCGATGCGAGACGATGGCCTGGTGGCATGCTCGCCGATGTGACCTACCAATACACTCGAAGAAAATTTTCTATTTACACTTGAATGCATTGGGTTGATAGGGGGGGGAGGCCTCCAATTGCCAAGGAGGCCGAGTGCTAGGATGAGCCACGGGGGGATTGCATACTTATAAGGGCGACTGAGCGAATTTCCCTGCGCGCGTCGTTCTCTTCCAACACTCTCTCCTGGTGGGGGGGTTCTCTCTTTTGGTGTTTGTCTCTCTCTCTCTCTCTTTCTAAGTGCTGCTGCTCCTGCTGCTTCCTTTCACGCCTTTGACAATTTGCAGCAACTTGTGCGCTCGTTTGACTTGGGTTAAATTGTTTGTGATTGTCGCAGCCAAGTCTCTATGCCTCTGTCTGTATCTGTTTGTGTGTGTGTGTTATACCAGATTCTCCATTTGTCGCTGCTTTTTGTCCCTGTGTGCGTTGTGACAGAGTTGTCAGCTGTTCCGCCTGCATTTCTCTCGCTTTCCTCCTCCGGCTTCTCCGGTTCTCTCGCCTCGGCCCATTATTACACAATTTATATTTTTTTAGGTGTGGTTTCTGCGGCGTCTGCAACCGGCCACGCCCATAGCCATTCGCCGCCCATCGCCCATCATGGCCTCGCATCTACATGGGTGCGTGTGGGTGCGGGGGGGTGGTAGGGTTTTTTTTTTTAATCAATCATTATAAAAAGAGATCGGCGGGGTAGCGGGACGGGTATAGTCGTTTGGCTTTGAAACTTTGCATTGCATAGTTTTGCGGGCGGGACGGTGCCTGCGGTGCTTTCGCCATGTAACTGTAATTGCAACTGGGACCTTGTTCCGCTTTGCTCCACCCTTTCTCCCTTCCCTCCATCTTTCCCCCGGTGACTGATTTAATTTTTTATACGCTCCATTTGTGGAAGTTGGGGTGGCAGCGACACAGTGGCATGGAGTCTCTGTGTTGCAAGTTGGCCAATGCCAGCAGGAGAAGGTCCTTTTAAATAAATTAGAAAAGTTTATGAATTTAATTATATTATTATTTAAGAGAAAGTGTTATATTAAGACTAGGAATTATTAAGAAGTTTACTTAAAGAGAGGTTTTAGGTCTTTAACCAAACTAGTTTCTTGGAAAGCCCTTGCTTTGATAGAGCCTTGCAAGTTGGATTTTAAGACAGAGGCCTAATACTTCCTCCCTCAACCACAAAGCCCATATTCCAGCCCACTCCCGGTGCCCCACGGTGCTTCCCGTTTGCTGAGCCCGAGTTGCGGTGACTCTGCCGGCTTATGCAAATTTTGTGAAAACCATTCGTAGAACCAAGTCAAGTGCAAAGAAACTAAAAACAAAGAAACTCTTAACCAAATCAACAAAAGCGAAAGCTCAATCGATTCCCGACGCGGCGCAAAGTTCAAAAGTTCAGAAAATAAAGTAAAAATGGCTTGGGGCTATTGGTCCGCCACGACAGTGGATCGCGGGCGGTCGCCGCGCCGACTGACCCAGTGTGCCCCCCTGCCGGTCAACATCGTGCAGCAGGAGGAGGAGGAGGAGCAGCCGTGCCTGCCCCAACAGCAGCAGCAACAATCCCAGCAGCAACAGCAACAACAGTCGCAAACCTGCCCCAGTACTCCGTCGGCCAACCAGCAGGGCAGCGGCAATCTCTGCTACAGCCCCACCTGTCGGTCGCGTTGCTCGAGTCCGTGTCCAGGATCGCCGTGTGGCTCCATAACGCCGCCGCCCCCGCCGCTGCTTACGTCGTCGCAGCAGCACCTGCACTCGAACAAGAACTGCCCAGCCGCCCAGCAGCTAATGACTCACCTGGACTACGCGGCCCGGAGACAATCCCTGGATCAACTGGACAGTCCACAGGTATATTGGGATTCTAAAATCCTAAATCCTTACAGCCAAGAACTCTGCTTGAAGTTAGTAACCCCAAAGTGTCTTTAAGCAGAGTTCGTCCTTAGAGTCCTTCAAGTATATCCTTTTATTCTGACCCGGTTCTTTATCCCCCTCCACCTCCAGTCCAAGTACTTCGATATACAGGCCAACCAGCTGTCGGACATCATGTGCCGCGGAGCGGTGGTCAGCTCCATCCAATCGGCCAACAACACCCTCACCAGAGGCGTCTCCCTGCACAGCCGGAGTGGCAGCGCCCACGGCAGCCACCATGGAAGCCATCACAGCCACAGCCACCACGGCAGTGCCCATGGATCGCTGGGCTGCCTGCAGGGCGGAGTGGGCGTGGCCACGGGCAGTACAGGCAGCATCGGGATGATGTCCGCCGGTCACATCGATACCGGGGACTACGATGTCCCGCATCCGCATCCGTACACGCACCACTACATGCAGACCACGGCCTCGGTGACGCCGCCCCACTCGACCCTGAGTCGGCCGGGGTCGGCGGGGGCCGTGTGCCAGGGCCACGACTCCGGATCGGATTCCAGCCAGGGATGCGGCGGATCGATTATGGGAGGCATGCTCGTGATGGGCCATCCGGGGCATATGGGCAGCCTGGGCCACCACAGCGCCGGGAGCGGCTCGCTGGGCAGGTGCTCGAGTCGGTGCCACAACACCAATACCACAACGACTGATGACTCCGGCGGCGGCAGCAGCGGAGGCGGCGGCGGCGGTGGAGGAATGGGAACGGTGGGCGGTGGCAGTGCCTCCATGTCGGTGGGCATGCCGGGCATGCTGATGGACTACCACCACAGCCATCACAGCGGCAGTGCCGGGAGTGGCCTCAACGGATGCGGCGGAGGTGGAAGCATTGCCGGCGGCAGCATTGGTGGCCGGAGCAGTGTCCTGGGCACCATCCACAATGGACACGGCCATCATCATCAGCAGTACCATCACGAGTGCATCCACTATGAACGACTGCCCATTCCCGTGCCCATACCCACGGTGCCAATGGGCGTGGCACCGCCCCCGCAGCAACAGCAGCAGATGTCGCAGCACCAGCTGCAGTCGGAGGAGGAAATAGAGCCGGCCTATGCGACAGGTAAATGGAGCTCCATTGGGGGAAGTCTGGGACTGAAATTATTTATTTAAGATTTTATTAAGTTTTTATTTTTAAGAAAATTAAAGTTTTATGTTATTTTTAAGTGAAGAATGTTATGGTTTTTAAAAGTTTCTGTTTATGTTAGTTAATTATTACTAAAACTTGTACTAAAATTGATTATTTTGTACCTTTTTGGGTCTTAAATTCTAATTTAAAGCTTAAGTTAAGTTTGATATTTATAAATTTTAAACTCGAAACAATTTAGACATAAATATTATTGGCTTGCAAATCTGGGGAATCTCCTAAACGACTCTGCCGCATTGTGGGCCATAAATAATCGCTTATCCGTATTTATTATTTCCAATAAATTATTGATTTTCTTGTGCATGCGGTGTACTTAATTTTGATGGAATTGCCAGTCCCCGATCTTATCGGTGGAGATGGAGACGGAGACGGAGCCAGAGACGAAGCCATTCGACGCGCTCTCACTTGGATTGGCTTGCTCCCAATTGGAGGACGGCGGTGACAATTCAATCGGCACTTGAGGCACTTTGCCGTTCTGCTTCGCACTTGATTTTATTGTTCTTTTGTTGTGCTTTTCGATTCTTGTTCTCAGTTGCTCTTCGGTCTTGTTTTTTGCCCGCAATTCTATGCCATTGCGGTCTAGGGTTTACGGTCTACGGTCTCCGTTCTCTGGTCTCCGGTCTCCGGTCTCTGGTCTCCAGTCTCAGTTCGTAGTTGAAAGTCGCGCGGTGACGACGCTCCGTGCGTTTCAAAAGCGTTTCTTTGAGTCGAACGGTTTAACTGGACTCTGGTGACCTCTGAACTGACCACACACATCCACCACCCCACACTCAGCAATAAAGACACAGATCACAGATCATAATGATCATCTGGAGCGGCTTCTGTGAGGCAGCCCAAATATATAGCACCCAGACGGCCACTTTTATGACCGGGGGTCCCTCGTGTTAGTATTCCACAAAGACGGGGGAAGGGTAATGATGAAAGTGACATAGATCAGATCAGCTTAGATCAGTTATTTACCTTTAAAGGACCTTTAGTCTTTTGTGTAATAGAACCCCACTCTATAAATTATCTAATAATACCTCTAGAACATGTGTAATATTACACTTCCCCCTACCACTTCCTTTCCAAGCGACCTTCAGACCACTAAGGCTTTATGACTAATATTGCATACGCTATTTATACTCGCTGTTAGCCATACCCCTGGGTTAACCGGGCTCCTAGTCACTCTATAAATTCTGTTGGCCTTATCACAGCCCAGGGCTCGGCACTTGTGGCCAAACAAAAAGAATAAACTGAAAATAAAGGCAATAACAAGAGCGCAGTCCAAACAAAATTGCCTCGATAAGCAAACTATCGCATTTGATAAGCAAAACGCTCTCGGGGGGGAAATATTTATAAGCCAGATAGATACATAGACCTAAAATTCTAGGTCAATGCAAGGCGTGTGAGGCAATATTTGAGTATCACTATGTTAACCTTGCAGCCGGGACAGAGAAGTATTGAACCCTAGAACCTCCTGGGTAGCCGACTCTTTAATTGAATTATGAATGAGTGATGAGCGATGAGGAGCAGACCAATGAATATATAGATCTGATAGCTGAACAATTGGAGCCAATTGATGGTCTCCCTCCCGGAAAGGCTTAATTAACATTACTTGGAAAAGAAAAAAGAAGAAATGAGAAAAATCTCCTCCTCGCTCTCGCTCGCAATCTCACCAAGTCGACATACATATCTCCACCCATCTCCGGTATCTCTGGAGTCCGAACTCCGTTTTTGGTGTATCTCTCCGGCGCGCACTCTTTATTATTTTCTGTACATGGTGCGTGGCGGGTCAGAGATAAGGTCTGCCACCGAGATATAGACTGCCACCGTGCGGCCTGGCTCAGTCGAGTAGTGGGTGCTGGCATGTCGACACACACCCTCCATGTGGCTGGGCAAGAATCCGTTTATAAGTAAAAATCGGTAGCGAAATCCCCCATTAGGTTGATAAGCGACCCGCGGCAGGGAATCTCAGTTACCCAATGGGCAAGCTAGCCTGCCGTAAGCATGTCCTTAAATTCCTCTAAAGGTTTAACCCTTTCCTAAACTGTTTAACTAACAAGTGGACTTGTCTTCTATTTTTTGCAGTATTCCCCAATGTTCCTCAGGCGCCGGGATTGTCCTGCGATGGCGAAGATCGTAAGTATTCATGAACAACCTCTAAGAACTCTTTCAATATTTAAAACCCAAGCCTATTACGTTTCTATAGAGGTATATATGGAAACAATTAGCAAATGATAAGCATTCACGATGATTCAATATTCAATACTGATTCATGAAGCTCTGTTCGATTCATGAAACTGATAATTATATAAACCTTTGAGTTCTATAAGCAGTGTTTCAATTCCAAGCTAAAGGTTCTATGAAAGAGATCACAAATAAAGAAAACGATGAGTTCTAAGCTTTGAAACATGATGTTTCATCAGTTTGTAGTGCCCAGATCAAGTGGAATATGTACTAATATTAAATACCATAACTCTAAAGTCATAAACTAAATTTGTATTTAAATTCCAGGCAGCATCTATCGGCGCGGTGCTCGACGCTGGCGCAAGCTATACCGCGTCAATGGACACATCTTCCAGGCCAAGCGTTTCAATCGAGTAAGTCAGCCATCCATCAAAGAATTATTTTCAAATCTCCAAACTCTAATACCACCTTCCTCTCCGCAGCGTGCTTTCTGTGCCTACTGCCAGGATCGGATCTGGGGCCTGGGCCGTCAGGGTTTCAAGTGCATCCAATGCAAGCTGCTGGTGCACAAGAAGTGCCATAAGCTGGTGCAGAAACACTGCACGGATCAGCCGGAGCCGCTGGTCAAGGAGCGCGCCGAGGAGTCAAGCGATCCGATGCCAGTGCCCCTGCCCCCGTTGCCGTACGAGGCGATGGGCGGCGGAGCCGATGCCTGCGAGACGCACGATCATGCGCACATTGTGGCGCCACCGCCGCCAGAAGATCCGCTCGAGCCGGGCACCCAGCGCCAGTACTCTCTGAACGACTTCGAGCTCATACGGGTGATCGGACGCGGCAGCTATGCCAAGGTGCTGATGGTGGAGCTGCGACGCACTCGTCGCATCTACGCCATGAAGGTAATCAAGAAGGCCCTCGTCACCGACGACGAGGACATCGACTGGGTGCAGACGGAGAAGCATGTGTTCGAGACGGCCTCGAACCATCCGTTCCTGGTGGGACTGCACTCGTGCTTCCAGACGCCGTCGCGTCTCTTCTTCGTCATCGAGTTTGTGCGCGGTGGCGACTTGATGTACCACATGCAACGGCAGCGAAGGCTGCCCGAGGAGCACGCCCGCTTCTATGCGGCGGAGATCAGTCTGGCGCTCAACTTCCTCCACGAGAAGGGCATCATCTATCGAGATCTGAAGCTGGACAATGTTTTGCTCGACCACGAGGGTCACATCAAGCTAACGGATTACGGAATGTGCAAGGAGGGCATCCGATCCGGGGACACAACGTCCACCTTCTGTGGCACACCCAACTACATTGCCCCGGAGATTCTGAGGGGCGAGGACTATGGCTTCTCCGTGGACTGGTGGGCTCTGGGAGTCCTGCTCTACGAGATGTTGGCCGGTCGCAGTCCCTTCGACTTGGCCGGAGCCTCTGAGAATCCAGATCAGGTTAGATTTTAGGGAAACCCCTTTTATGGTACAAAATATTAATTATAATCCTTTGTAGAACACTGAGGACTATTTGTTCCAAGTCATCCTGGAGAAGACCATTCGTATTCCGCGATCGCTGAGTGTGCGAGCAGCTTCTGTCCTCAAAGGTTTCCTCAACAAGAACCCCGCTGATCGCTTGGGCTGCCATCGGGAGTCCGCCTTCATGGACATTGTCAGCCATCCGTTCTTCAAGAACATGGATTGGGAATTGGTGAGTCCGAGGGCGATGTCCTTCATGTTTTGTCTGTGTGTCCTGGTGCTTTTGTTTGTGATGATGATGAAATAGTTATAGGATTAGCTAGGTTTCATAGGTCAGGTTTGCTTAAGAATGTCCCAGATAACTATTACAACTTGTTGCCTTATCAGAGATATTAATGATATAAACAAGCATTTGTTTATTTATTATTGCGTGCACCATTCGGTGTTAAAGATAGCACAGAAGGAGGTGCAACCGCCTTATATACCCAGCCTAGACACTGGCGACCCCTACATGACAACCAACTTTGATGTACAGTTTACCCAAGAACCCGCACAACTAACGCCCGATGATCCGTAAGTCTTAAGAACTACAAAGAACAATTCCAATCGATGGCCAGTTGTGTTAGTTGTTTTGATTCCTTGCATGATAAACCCCTTTTGAAAAAAAAAACAAAAGATCCAGAGCAACGACAGGTAATTGTGTTCACTCCATTGCCCCCCACTTTCTGTCTTCAAGCTAAAATCGTTTTCCCCCCAAAAAAAATGTATTCTATCATCGTCATAGCCATCATGCTCAAGCCACACCATGAACGACATGAACGACAAAATCGAAATCTGTTTTATGTTTGCCAATTGGCCGAGAGTTTATCCTAATCGTTTATGATTTTCTACTATCCTCATGCCATGCACCACCAAAATCACGCAGCTTGAGCGCAAACAGGTCACGCCACCATTCAAGCCACGTTTAGACTCAGATCGCGACCTGGCCAACTTCCCGCCCGAATTCACCGGCGAGGCCGTACAGTTGACACCGGATGAAGAGTAAGTTCTAATCCCATTTGTCACTTTTCTTAAGGACTATTCTGTATGGTATTGTATGACTAATAATCTCTAATTTGCTTTATAGTCACATTATTGATAGCATCGACCAGTCCGAGTTCGAGGGCTTTGAGTATGTGAACCCCTTGCTGATGTCCTTGGAGGATTGCGTCTGACACCACGAAATGTGCGACTTACATCCGTACAATATGCGGGTAAGTGCCTATAACTATTATGATCTTGAATCACATGATTAATTCAACTTTATTTCAGCTCTATGGCGAGGATTCCAGTGATTATGATTCCGTGGCTGATGATCTCAGTCTCCTGCATTTGAATAGCGCAGCAGTGGCTGGAGGATCTGTCAATAGCAATAACAATCTCAGCCAGCAGCAGCATTATCGTCAGCAACAGCAATACCTTCCCCAAACATCATACTCCCAGCAACAGCAGCAACAGATACAACATCAGCAGCAGCAGCAACAGCAACATCAACAGCAGCAGCAACAGCAGCCACAACTCCATCATAATGGTAATAATAATATTCAAAATAATCAAATGCAAGTAAATAATAATAAAAGTCTACTGCAGCACATGTTTTGCCTTCCATTGAACTAATTAAAATAACGAATTAGATACAAACAACAACAGCAATGAGCCACACAGCAACAGCAAGTAGCAGAGCAACTTAAAAATTAAAAAAAAAAAAAGATAAATTCTTGACAAGTTATATAGATATAATCCTCTCTACCAACTGACACAAAAAATCTATTTATTATGAAAAGCGAAATCTGTCACAAGCTGCGAGTATTACACTAAAAAAGGCATAACAAAACGATTACTTTACTATTTAAGCACCTAGGCAGCAGAATGCAAGCTAAAGATACCATTTCATAACTCAATGCAAGACTTTTCACCGAAAAACTTAGGGAGCGGGCGAGTCGGGGGGCGAGACAACCTTTTTAAGCTAACCATATGTGCATCAGATATATGAATATAATTTTTAAAAAGCTAAACACTAAACAAATACATACATTTCAACACTTAATTTTACTAGCCAGAATACGAGAGATGGATGTCGAGTATATATATATATTTCAAATGAATCAATCTATAATACCTAAGCATATATAAATCTAATGTAAAATGTGTGTGTGTTAGTGTTAGAGAGCAAAGCATGGTTTTTAAAGATCCGACATATATATGTTTGTGTACTGTAAACAGAATAATAGTTAAACTAACAAAAACAAAGTACTATCTACACCAGGGGTGCTCAAATTCGTCTTATGGCAGTGCGTTTACTAACACAGACACAAGAAAACGTGTACATACATATGTAGCGGCGCTTTAGTGTTGGGGCGCAGCTGTGCACTGAGAGAAAAAAAACAGTTTTAAATATTTATTTATTTTTTTTTTTATATTTGGCTTAAAAAAGATTTAATATTTATATTAATTTTAGTGGTTGATAATTTTAATTGAGCTTCCAGATTATTATTATTTAGTCCCACGAAATAAATCAAAAGCCAAAGCAGACAGAAGAATAAGTTCCAGTGCATGTGCTCGAGGAAAAAACAAAAACAAAATACACTGCGTTCAGCGAAGTGTGACGACGGATAGAGATGTAATGAAGAAACAAGCAAAATTGTTTTTGTTTCGCATGGTAATCGAAGCCCATATGCACGGTGCTTATGGGCGCACTAGCCATAAGCACAGAGCATCTACAAAAACAAAAGTGCACTCAGTGTATAGGCGTTGAGCACCCCTGATCTACACATTGTAATTCCGAAATTCTAATTTTTACACTGAGAGAGCAGCTAACCTCCTCTACAATACGAACAAAACCATATTTATTTATTGTATTTCTTTTTGTATTATTTATTTAAAAGCAAACACAATCCGTCTACTGGCAATATATATCTTCTTTTTTGTTAAGTATTAATGAAACTATTGTTTTTTAATGCATTCCACTGTACTTACACGACAACAAGAGTATAGTATATATTTTTGTTAATTTATTGAGGCACATCCAAGGCCATCTCAAGCTTATGAGATATATATACATATATATATTTACAATTTTTTAAGTGATGGAAACTTTGGTCAAAAAGTAAATCAAAATGCTAATCTTTTGGTTGCATCTTTTTGTGTACTCGGCGTACAATTTTAACTAAAACCCTTAAATATTAAATGTAAACGTTAAATCCAAACAAAAGATTGTATATTATGTTTTTTTTGTAATCCACATACAAATATTGTGAAATTTATGAAAATTAGTGATTATCAAAAGTAATATCATTGTGTTGCAAAAGATAAATAAGATATTGTGTTTTTAATTGACAAACTAAGCAAAAATAAATTGAAATTTTGAACAAAAATGTTACTTGTTAATGTATGAAAAGCAAATAAGAATTATGCGAATATTGTTATATTTCCAAATACAACGCAATCTTAAACAAAATGGAATATTGATCAAACCAAGTTTTTGATTAAACAAAATAGTAAGCAATCAATTCAGCAACAAACACTAAATCAATTTAAAATTGCACTTAACGATTATACCAAGTTATAGACACGAAATCGACGAAAACCCGGTTTATCCATTAGTTCTATTGTTGTGTTTGATAACCTACAAGTTCTACAAGTATGTTTAATTAGAATATAATGATTTTATTTACCATATATACACACATTTGTATTTCAACCGATGTTTGCGACTCATTTTATATACTGGACGCACTTTTTGGCATTAGCATTACCGATGATAGCAAAATGTCAAAACGAAATTGAAAACGCAGTCAGTACTTGCGTTTAAATTATGCATATAAACGGAAAACGAATAAAGTATTGTATAAGAACCGAATGCTCTTCTCATTTTCCACCAAACCAACAAAAGTCCCATTTCTTAAAATGTTCAACTTTTATTAACAACTTCGTTAAGGGAGAGGGGGCTGAGAATAAAATCCAACAAATGCAAAACGTTATACTATCGGTTGAGTGCCCTCAGTTGGCCTGTAAAATGGAGACCGGCTCTTGCATAATCTCCTGAATCTTTGCCTCCGGAACCGCCACACCATTGGCCAGCAGAGTGTGAACGATGCCGTCGTGTTTATTGCCACTTGAGCGTGCCTGCAGCACAAACTCGGTGTCCTGCAGCAGGAACTTGGTGTCAGTGCCGCCATGAACGAAAGCCGACTGCGGAAAACAGAGGAAGGTCATAAAATAATTTTCCCTTCAAGTTTTAAATTCTCTTTTTTTTTTTTTTTGGAAATTATAAACATTAGAATGCATCCCGTACCTCCTCAGTTCGCAGCTCATCGTTCACATATAGACTCAACGTATCCAGCTTAAGCATTATCCTGTATTCCTGCGCCGTTTCGGCGGCCGAGTCCTGGGTGTATAGCCACAGCCGATACTGCCGCGTCATTTCCTCGGTGTACTGCTCGTGGGACTTGCCATCGATGTAGAGTGAGTACTCGTATTTGAAGCCAGGCGCCGGATCCACCCGTATGATGCAGCGGATTTGATCAATATGGAACGTGTCCTCGCCCACCAGCTTGAACATCCAATCGCGACGCAGTACCTCCTGCGAAAAGTACAGTACAGTCGAAGTTCAGAAGTAGTTATTAAATTATAATTAACTAAAGACCCCGTTTTACGATACACATTTAATTATTTGACAAAGATAAAAGCCCGCGGGGGAGCACAAAGTAATTCACTCTAAAAAGTGCACATACTGGCTCGCCTCGTAATTAAGTTCGCTTCCACAATGCAAATACTTGAAACCAAACCAGCCAGGCAGCCAACCAACCCACTAGCCAGCCCATCCTGCCACCCAAAGCCACGGAATAGCGGGGAGAACTTACCCGTCCATTGACCCAAATCATGCGCCGCCCACTGGTTGTGCCATGTTCCAGCTCGATGCGGTACATCTAAGCAAAAAAAAATTAAAACGGGGGAACAATTATCGCTATTTTCCATCAATTTAAGTTGCGGTTTCTGTAAAAAATGGAGGACTCCACATATGCCACAGTACCTTGCCGTTGATGGGGACACACCACTGGGCCACGATGTTCTGTTTGTTGTAGCGCTGGTCCTCGGGTATATGATCCTGCGTCATGGTGGGCACTGTCGACAGATTCTCCAATCGAAGGGTGGGCGACAGAAAGGACATGTGTCTCGGGCCGCCACTCGATCAGGCCTTAGCCCCCCAATCAGCCAATCAATAAATCCTATTAATATTTATAGTAATCACCTTTTAAAGTGCAACCCACCCAAGGGTATACCACTCAACCCTCCCAAAAAAAAAGTAATTCCAGTATGCTCTATATTCTTGGAGTTCAAAGAACTCTGGTTTGGAGTTCGTCTTGTGTAATCTTCAGATCTAGCTTAAATGCACTCTGAACCTGCTCGGCTATTAGGCTAGAATTTATTCCGTTTCCCCGAGTGGCCGGGCGGCGACAAAACCGCAAGAACGAACCGCACGTTGTTAGCACCAATGGCATACTAAACAACACACAATAAAAGCCAAAGGAGAAACTGAAGAAAAACTAGTTGGCCTGGCTGACTGCCTGGCTGGCTTGCTGGCTGGCTGGTTGCCTTTTGGCCCGTTGGCTCTCTGGCTCTGGCTCTGGTTCAGTCTTTAGCTTTGGCTATGGCTCTGCTTTTGGCCGAGTCGCGGTCGTTTGGGTCGGTCTGCCAAAGTGAAGGCAAAGTGCAGAGCAACTACGCCGCATGGCGCCAAAACAGAGTTGATTTGTTTCCACTAGCAGTGCGTGTGTGTGTGTGTAAGTGCGGATATGCGTACAGTAGTAACTCTTCAGAAAGGAAGACTATAGAAATGGATAGGGCTTTATAGGTCCTTTCTATTCAAAAGGTTTATTATATTCAAGTTCTTGGGTTTTAGAGTTTTTTAATTATACGCACTGTTATCACGGCTTTAATATATATTATATAGCTCTGTTTTGTTAAGTATATTTAGTATACAGACAGGTAAACAATTATTTATAAACAAAAATTAATCAAAACTAAAAATTTCCACGTTTGGATGTATAATCTGTAGCTTCTCGAACTAAACATTCATATTACTCATACGCACTGTTGCCAATGACTTGATGTTATGCTAAAAACCATAAAAATTAACGAAAGATTGAAAAAGTTATAAAAACTATTAGCAAGTTAGACCTACATATTTGCTTAAATTAAGGTTTAAATTATTTACCATAAGGTTTTAAGAATAAGCTTTGATTCTTGATTCTATCATATTACTCATACGCCCTGTGGTCTTTGTTTTGGTTTTAAAAGTTGAAATGCGCTTTTTTCGCTTCAATATCGCGACTCTTCCTTCGATATACTGTTTCCCTCCAACTTGTTATTCACTGTACCCACTTCCCGATACACCACCGAGTACTTTGTCGTCGCTCGCATAAAAATAAACTTTTGCCCCGCCAAGTATGCAATTGTTTTTGCATTGCAATTGCCCTGCCCCTGCCCCGCCTTCCATGGCCGTGCCGTGCCTTTGAGCCTGCCACATCGCCTCGAGCCTCCAATTGAGCGTAAGCCAAACAATATTCGTGCATACATATTTTATTCTGGATGACAATTATATGGCCCAAGGGGATAAGACTTCGCTGCCAGCACACTCAACTTGCCACATGGGCAATCGGCGCAAATTTGTCGCATTTTGTTTTGTTGTCATGTTTATGGCGCAACATTTTCTGGCCATAAATACACGCCGAAAATGCTAATGACCAATTGGGTGGGCTTGGGGGTACATTTCTTTTCTTGGCATGGTATGGCATGGCTTGGCCGGCACATGAACCGGCAGTGAAAGAAAGACGTGAAGACTTCCCGCCTCCGGGTGGTATTTCAATCGACCAGAAGCGATATTGATAAATGTATTTGGGCCAGATTGGATAAGGAGTCGACACCGAAACGGGCACATCATATGTCAAATCGAGTTCCTCAGGACTTTGGGCCATAAAGCCTTGCTTTTGCCAACCCACAGAAAGTAGGGAGGCCAGATGGATGGATGGGTGGGTGGGTAAGAAAAACATATGCCATCGTCCCATCAGAGTTCCAACACGCGAAGGTCACTGGCAAAGCGCCGTTTGAAGTCGCTTACAGTTTTAGTTGATGTTGACGTTATCAAAGGGGTTGGGGGAGTGGGTGGCGGTGGCGGTGGTATCTTATGTGAGTGTATTGGTGTGTAAAAAGAAAACAGTCACACACACACACACACTCGCACACAAAGACAGTGAGATAACGAAACATTTGACAAGGACAAGGGTGCCTGCCACCCGTGAACTCCCCTTCTCAGCACGAACAGCTCCCAGTGTCAGTGTGTTGGTGTAATTATTAGTGCCGTACAAAATAAATATGTATGTATATGTATGCACACAAACATCCTTTTTTGACGCTCACTCAGTGGCGCGTCCTTAGCTTAAGCACCGTGGGAGTTTTCTGAGTAAAAATGGCTTTTTTTATATCATTTTTAGATTAGAGGACCAGTAGTGGTATACGTGACTTACCAGAAAATGCTATAAAAGTTTCGGATTTAATCTCAAACTAAACCTACTAAATTGTTTCATTAAATGTATTATTTTCTTTATGTTTGTTGGATAATTAATGAACTTAGTTTAAGTATTTTACAGAACCGCTTTGCAGTTGCAATAAATTAAATGAGAATTTCAACAAAAAGTACCCCATACCTCCCCACATCCTTGAATTCGCTGACTTTGCGTGTCGCCTCACAAAGTTCCATTAATACCGCCTTTATACCCCATTGTCCTCGGTTGCGCTTTCTACGTTGCCTACTTTCCAGTTGAATTTATGAACCATTCCTCCGCCGGTTGTATGTACACTTTTTTATGCAAATATATGGCCAAAAGTGCCGCAACAGACAACATTCGCTGACGCCGTCGCCACTGATGATGTTGCAGAAGTTAGGAGAGCAGAGGAGCGGCGTGGTGGGCAGGTCCTGCTGGGTGGGATTGCGTGCTTCGGTGGTGTCAGTCGGCTGGCACACTACAAATGTCGCCAACAATTAATTTCCATAGATAATTGCCTGTCGATAACGACAAAGGCAGCCGGGGGACATTAATCAAATGGCCAGGCTGTTGACTAGCTTTTTTGTTCTTGGCCACTGGACACTGGGTACTGGCCACTCTCTTGGCGGGATGGACACGATTTAATCAAAAACTATGGCGAAATGACAAAGTGAAAGTTGTATTTCAGTGATTTGTTGTAACGCTCTTAAATCAAATTGAATTGGCAAAATGTGTGCGTTTGCTTAAGTTAGCTAGATTGGTAAATGGTTGTGTGTAAGAGTGTGTTGGGTGTGTGTGAATAATGCATTGTTGGTATCTCGATATATCTATATAAACATTATGATTCATACAAGTGCTCAACTTTCGAACAGATACAGATTCCATGTGTTAACCAGCTAAATAATAATACTGATCACAACGCCAATAGTGTGAGTTCTCGTTCATTTTTGTTAACAGCTTGCCATTGAAAATAATGATTGATGTTACTTAATGGGGCAATAAATATGGAGTATACTTATTTGTAAATATATATATTTATGAATGTATGTATATAGATATAGAATTTGTATTGCTGCACCATAACAACTAACATAAGCAGCCAATATCTTCTTTTTTTTTCGATTAATCGAGTAATTCATCTATACATATGATTTTGGGAACAAATTTGAATAACGCTGGGCGTAAAATAGGCGCTAGTTGTAGGTAATTTGTCAGATTATCGTGTGTTTGTGTGTGTGCTTATCGTAATTGACACAACGTAATATTGCATTTCTTAACGAATAACTTAACTATGTACATAAGCTACCAATTAAATACTGAGTAATCAAATCAGAACTAGAAGATCGAACTAATATCGCTTCATTAAAATTATAAATGCACTTCAATTGATTCGAAAATAAAAAGAATACTTGATTCCAAGGCTAAAACTACTAATTTTGGCCGTATTGTTTTAATATTTTCCTATAGAGTATGGATTTAATTCATCTAGCATTCTAGATAGAGTGAAAATGGCAGTCGGATTCGTCTATGAGAAGCATGGGTAATATTTTTCTATGACTGGCCTTTTAACCGTCCTGGCCGTCAGTGCGGAAGGAGTTAAGAACTAACATTTATGACCGGTATGGGCTATGAGGCTTATTGGAAAATTTTCGGCTAGAAAAATGCACAAAAAGTCTTCGGTCTCGTGATGGGAATCGGTCTAGGTTACTATGAACTGGTCCATCATTTTCTCGACAACATTATGTTCATGACTGTGCCGCAGTTAAGAAGCACTCGTTTGGCATCGCTCAGATTGGAATTGGTCAGGTCGTAGCCATCGATTTCCAACAGCTTATCGTTCAGGTTCAACAGGCGGGCGGCATTTGTATTTGGGGTAATAGAGCTGACAAAGATGCCAACCTGGAAATACAAGTATTATGTCAATAATCAAGTAGATAGTCTCCCAAATCATAGCACTTACCTGATTGAGTATTTCGGCTACATCGAAGCCAATGGTGTGCTCCCATTTGAGAGTAACTTGCTTGACGGTTGGATTCTTGTGAACCCCAAAGATCCAAGTGGACTTCTTGCCACTCATCTTGCAAGTATTGTTGGTGGCCGTGGAGTTCATCGAGTGCTGCGACATTGTGTCGTCCAGCTCCTCATCGTCCTCCTCTGGTTTCCCATCAACGTGGTTGCTAACATTGTTCTGATAGTCGAGCTGGTCGACTGATTGTTCGACTTCCTGGGCGCCAATCGCCGTAGTTTTGAAATTGCTATTCAAAGCGTCCTGGTAGATGGTTTGTTCTAGCTGCTCTTGGAGGTGCTGCTGCTGGTGTTGGTGCTGCTTGCGTTGCCGCATAGACTCGTACAAGTTGAGATCCTCCGGCGTTTTCTTCGTGTATACGCGAGCTATATGATATGGAGGCGGCTCTAGTCGGGGTGGAGGTCCGGCAAACTGTTGTTGCGGCATAGGTTGTTGCTGCTGCTGCAACGGCTGCAGTTCATAGTCCTGGTCGCCATTCAAATGCGTGGTGGGCAACGGTGTGCCGGCCTCCACGTAGAGCTGTTGGTACTGCGCCTCATAATTCACCAAAGGCATACCGTAGTACTCTTGCGGTGCTGCGGGATGAGTCAGTTGTTGCGGCGGCTGATAGACTCCGTAAATGTGTGTCGTCTCTGGAGCGATGCCGTATATTGCACTTGCTGTGGCCTGGTCCACAACATCCTGGTTGGCATTGCTGCTATCACAGTGAACTGGGCCACCGTTGGCCACCACGCGGGCTTCCCTCACCTCGCTGGCATTCGCGGAAGTGGTCGCAGCCTGGGCCTGCCTCACGTACTTGGCCATCTGGCGGAGCTCCTTGGGATATGGAGTGGGCGACCGCATCAATCGTACGGATCCAGCTATCTGCTCCGGAGTTGGAGTCGGTGGAGCGGCTACATAACTGGGATAGCTGGGTGCCGGCTGCGCTTTGGCGTTGCTGAGAATGGTGGCCTCCTCAGCAAAGCAAATCCTCCTCGAGGGACTCACGTGCGAAGGCTGCTGTTGATTAGCGTACACGAATTCGTACTGCTCCTGGGCTTGCTGCTGCGCCTGCATGCTGTTCATCTTGAAAGTCACCTGAGGCAGCATAAAGCATGTTAACTGCGTCTTTGTACTCGCATCCAGATACTGCAGGGGAACCAATGGCTGCGACTGGTTGTCGCTCAGCCACAACGACGTTAGATTCACCAGGTTTAGCATCGAAACCGGCAAGGCATTTATGTAATTGTTAACCACATTGAGGACCCTCAGCTTGGCAAGGTTTCCTATATTCTGCGGCAGGGCGGACAACTGATTGCTGGCCACGCTCAACACGCTTAGCTGCTGGCAGCTACACAGTTCATCGGGCAATTGACGAAGCTGATTGTCATCGGCAAAGAGGAATCGCAGACTGCGCAGCATTCCAATTGTGCTGGGCAAGCGAATTAGCTTATTGTGGCTTAGCACCAGCTCCTCCAGCTGCTCCAGATAACTTATACTGTCCGGTAGTTCGGTAAGTCCGTTGGACTCACACTTGAACGTAACTAGCGACTTTAGCATGCCCACGCTGAAGGGAAAGGCTTCCAGGTTGTTGGAGCAGATGGACAGCACTTCAACGTTGCGCCAGTTGCTCAGCTCGTTAGGTAGCGTGTCCAGCAGATTGCCATTGGCTTCAAAATGCTGCAACTCACGCAGCTTGCCAATGTTGGCGGAAACCCGGCGTATCTGATTGAAATCGATCCAGAGTTCACGCAGCGATTTAAGCTCCCCGACGACTTCAGGCTGAGGGATTTTAAAAAAAACATTAATAAGAATTTGAAGACCTTTTTAAAAAATAACACTCACCAGCTCTGTAAATTCATTGCCTCCAATATCCAAACGCTGTAGGTTCACCAACCGCACCATGGACTTGGGCAGCGTAATAAGATTGTTGAGTCGCAGCTCAAGAATGCGTAAATTGACCAGGCGGCCGAAATTGGCCGGTAGAAACTCCAAGTAGGTTTCGTTCAACAGGAGCTCCTGCAGGGATATAAGCGAGGTAATGGCATCGGGAAGACGTTGAAGGCTATTGCAGCTTAGATCCAGGTGGGTTAAGTGTTTGCACGACTTGATCTCATCGGGCACAGTAACAATAACTGAAAAAATACCAATTAGGTGACAATTTGCCTGGGCAACGGGAAGAAAGACTTACGATTCCGATTGAGGTCCAAATGCTGCAGCTGGCGCAGACTGCCGATGGCCTGGGGAATGCTCTCCAAATTATTGCTGTTCACGTGGAGCACCCTCAATCCCTGGCAATAAAACAATTGCGGAGGCAGTGTCTGCAACTGCAAGATAAGCGGAAAGAATGTGTAAATAAGGGTCACAAATAAAGCAGTGAAGTACCCACTCTGGTGGTGCTTAAGTAAAGCTCTTCCAGCGTCCGTTCGTGCTGCCAAACTTCGGGAAAGTCGGTGGAGAGCGGAGTATTGCTATAGTCCAGCTTGTCAATCACCTCCTCATGCTTGAATTTAAAGCAAGGAAAGCATTTGCTCAGCAGCGGCATCTTTGGGGGTTATTGCTTTTCGTTCGTTTATAAGGCACGGTTTCTGCTTCTGCTATGTAAATAACGGTATAAGTGTCAAACTTATTGGGGTCGTCGCCACACAACTCACCTGTGATTCATCGCCGCAGCTGGAATGCTATTGGTCCTGCCCCATTAAATTCCATGTCCATTGGCATTTTTGGGCTTGTTATTGTTCTGCCCACCCACACACTGACGTACCTGCACACGCACACAAGCACCCGCACTCGCATACACAAAGAGATTTCAAGCCTCTCTTTGTTTGCGCGGCTTTTACAAACAAATAATTTGTTTATTTACCCTTTCCATTTACATGTCATTATATCCGAGAGCAGGTGATGTTTTCTGTGACCATCAAATTGCGTTTTATTTAATGTTTTTCGCTTTAAAAACGACAATATATATCGATATATAGATAATCGATTGTATTGTAAATATAGAATTTTCATTAACCAACATTGAAATTACAACCTTCAACACTGTAAGAAAAGTGACCGCCATAATTATTGAATTGGCCTTAATGATTCTTTTAGTTAAAAAAAGTACATATTTTTGTTGTTTCGGTTTTATATTAAATTGATTTGCATTATTTTTTTTTTTTTAATATTTGTAACATCGATTATTGTAAAAGGGTATCGATAGTCTTACTTCTTCCGAACAACAGAGGGCGCTAAGGAACCACCGCTAAAATTCAAACAAAAAAGCTAAGCGCAAAAGACAAACACGGCAACCGGGCTTGCATTTGTTAAAAACACTTCACCCTTTGCTAATTAATATTTACCCATCACTTCCTGGGATTGAATAGTGCTTAGGCAAACGACGGGCAGCTTGTAGTTTTAACTGTTGATAACGCAAAGGCGTCAATAATGCAAATAGCAATGAGGTAAATCCAGTATTTTTGAAGTTGCAAAGTTCAAATGGGTTATTGCAAATTCCGGCCAAGACGACCAATTAAATCTTAGCTCATATTTTGTACCCAGACTTTGACCAATTTGAGTGTCGTCAGGTTCCGTGTGTTTGTGTTGCCGTAGTCGTGGTGTGAAAATTATTCAAATAACGGTCGTTTTCGGATTTTGTCGTATTTCGTATCTGTTTTTGTCGTTTTTTCGGCATTGTCTGTCGGCGAAGCATTGACGAATTTACACTTCAAACAATTGTTAAACTATACAGCATAGTGCAAATAAGTACGTAATAAACAATGTGCTTGTTACTCGCTGCCATTTGCAAGAGAAAAATCGTGGGGCTCAGTTTCGGTTTAAAAGTTGTTCGTTGCAGTTGGATCGGTCGATGTGAGTTTTGTCGAAATGCAGATAAGGAAACCCCCACAAACATTATTATCTTTGAAAAACAAATATAGATTTTAATGGAATTATGAGCTGTCAGCTGTGTACATTATCCTTCCATGTATTATTTTATAAAGTGAACCTTGAACTCTTTTTTTTTTTTAAGAAAAAATAGAAATTTTAATTGCATTTCATTGCCTTGTACAATTTTTATTTTGAATAAAAAGTTAGTGCGTTTTATTGGTTGACCTCTGGCCCTTCGTGTGCATTAAAAATTAACAAGCAGATGTCAAGACTTTCACGGGTAGTTATAAGCACTTAAAGTGGAAATCTATAGTTGACACAGTTCACGTAGTTTGGTTACAATTGGAACCACCTGTCGGTGTTGAAGTTATAAACTCGGCATTTCTTATTTAAAACCCATCACGACTCACACCACCAGCGAAATGGGCGAGAAAAAAACCACCCTAGTTGTGCCACCACCCCCTCAATAATATTCTCTCCCCCTAGGTGAGCTGTTTCAACCCCCCTTCGAATCGGTTATAGAGGTCGCGTTTGGCTTATATCGGTTTTATTGTTTCGTTATGACATTAGCGGTATCCATTTATATTCGCATCCGATTTTGGGTTCAGGATGGAAAAATATTGTATAGATTTTACTTCTTTTTGCCCTTGCCCTTCTTGCTGCCCTTTGCCTCCTTTTCGGCCAAAGGATCCGCAGAGGTAGCTGAGCCAGACTTGGCAGGATCTGCGTTTGGTTTCTCACCAGTTCCATCAGAGGCTCCTTTCTTGGCGCTCTTGACCGAATCCTTCTTCTTGCTGGGCATCTTACCAAAATGGGATTACTTTCGGATGAATAACTTATCTAATTTGAATTTTATTTTGAAATTAAATGTTTTCTTACCTTATTGAATTTTTACCGAAAAAAAAACAACTAAAACCGATTTGGATGTTTGTAGCTCGAACGTCAAGAATAAAATGAATTACAATTCTCTTCAACCTTAACCCTTTCTCATTGAAATCAAGGCTTGTTTTGTTTTAAACTTTTAAAAATATATTTTCGAAATCAAGTTTTAACCGATTCAGTTCCTGAATAACGGTTTGCGCATGCCCGGAAGACACCGCATGGGCACTCTCTCTCGGTAATTTTCCGGCACTCTCAACCAGTCTCCGTCCGTAGTCTCATTCCTTCCGTGCATTTGTCGAAACGAAAGCCAAGTAAACGCACCGCAGGTCGCATATTTTAGTGCAATATCTATTTAAGTAATTTTAATTCTTAGCGCAAAAGTGTATTTCAACAACTAACGAGAACCTTGTGCCATTTGAATAATAGGAATTGTAGATATAAACCTCTAGAAAATCAATTCCAACCAGAAGCTTCTAACTTGCTCAGCAGGCGGCGTCTTTTCCCACAAATTATCGATTTTGCGCCTAATGTGAAAAGTCTGCAACTCCCAAGGGCTGTGAAAAGTATAGAAAAAGTATTTTTATAACTCCAACGGATATAAATCCACGGCTGTACATAGTGAGTGTGTGCGATGGCGGCCAAAAGAAACTCGGCGGCCACTGATGCTCCGGAAAGCTTGCCGGTTCCGACCGAAGGCACCGCCCTCGCCCTGGACCCGCGCCTCTCCAAACGCGTGGAGAGTGTTATTCCCAAGAAACGGTGAGTTCTCAGGTGTTTAAGGACATTTAAGCACTATTTCTAGTGTTTACTATGTGCCTTTAGGAGTATTAATGGGCTGTAAGAGGGAAAAATAAAAATAGAATGGAGAATTTTGAAAATAGATAAATGTTTGCTTTTAAAATGTGCAAATTGCCGGACAAACAACTCGGCAATTACACCCTGTAAACAGCACTTAAAACACTAATGTTGCATTAAATAAAATAAATAAGAAACTAGTGGGCTCTAAAGTCATAAAATTTTCTCCAGTAGCTAATTTCTTTAATTTTTGACAGCCACGAGGCCTTAAAATGGTTCGGTTGGGGCTACAATGACTCCCAGTTCTACGGGCAAGATGGCATCATCTGCTTTCGCGGCGAAAAGTGAGTACAAGAATGTCAATCCTTGAAAAATATTTAACCGACTCCTTGCTTAGATATCCCCTTGGAGGGTGCGAGCTGCCCAGCTTCACCAAGTGGGTGGAGGACAAGTTCGAGATGAAAGTGGATCAATCGAAGCCGTTCCCCCAGCTGCCGAAATCCTATCCACGACCAGTGGACAATGCAGCATTCCTGCGCGAATTAAAAGACTCCACCAAGGTGGACTTCTCTCTGGAGGGGATCGATCGACTGGTGCGCTGTCATGGTCAGACCCTCAACGACATCTACAGTCTCTGGCATCACAAATTCCGCCGGATTCCCGACTTGGTGGTGTGGCCTCGTTGCCACGACGAGGTGGTCCAGCTGGTACGTTTAGCCCACAAGCACGACGTGATGCTGCTGCCTTATGGCGGAGGAACTAGTGTCTCCGGCGCCATAACCTGCCCCCAGAATGAAAGGCGAATGATCTGCGTCCTGGACACCTCGCAGATGAATCGCTTGCTGTGGCTGAACAAGGAAAACCTGACCGTGTGCTTCGAGTCTGGCATTGTAGGCCAGGATCTGGAGAGGGTCCTGCGCGAAAAGGGCCTAACGGTGGGCCATGAGCCGGACTCCTACGAGTTCAGTACCCTGGGCGGCTGGGTGGCCACTCGAGCCTCGGGCATGAAGAAGAATGTGTACGGCAACATCGAGGACCTGGTGGTGCGGGTGCGGATGGTCACTCCGTCGGGCACGCTGGAGCGGGAATGCAGTGCCCCCCGGGTGAGCTGTGGCCCGGATTTCAATCACATGATCCTGGGATCGGAGGGAACTCTAGGTGTGATAACCGAAGTAGTGCTCAAAGTGCGTCCTTTGCCTTCTGTGCGGCGCTATGGATCTTTGGCCTTCCCCAACTTCGAGCAGGGTGTGCTCTTCATGCGCGAAGTGGCCCGCCGACGCTGCCAACCGGCCTCCGTCCGGCTGATGGACAACGAGCAGTTCATGTTCGGCCAGGCCCTCAAGCCGGAAAAAAGCTGGTGGTCCAGCTTTGTGGATGGCCTGAAGCAGCGCTACGTGACTGCCTGGAAGGGCATCGACCTGAACGAAATCTGTGCCGCCACTTTGCTCTTCGAGGGCGTGGAGAAGGAGGTGCAGCGCCAGGAGTCGCTCATCTACGAGATAGCGGCCAAGTTTAAGGGTTTTCCAGCTGGTGGGCAAAATGGAGAACGTGGCTATGTTCTGACCTTTGTGATTGCTTACATTAGGGACTTTGCTTTATGGCAGGGTATCGTGGCAGAGTCCTTCGAGACCTCAGTGCCCTGGGACCGTTGCAGTTTGCTTTGTCGTTCCGTTAAGCAAAAAGTTGTATCTGTAAGTACAAGTATATGTTCTTTGTCCATAATCTAAAATCTAATCCTTTCCAGGAGTGTCAAAAACGGAGCATTACCTTCTACACCATCTCTTGCCGGGTGACCCAGACCTATGATGCTGGTGCCTGTATCTACTTTTACTTTGGCTTCCGGTGCCTGGATGTGGCCAATCCCGTGGAGCTTTTCGAGGCCATTGAACACAGTGCTCGTGAGGAGATCCTGTCCTGTGGTGGTTCCTTGTCCCATCACCATGGAGTCGGGAAAGTGAGGAGTCATTGGTACCGCAGTGCCGTCACCGATACGGGCAGTGCCCTGTATACCGCAACCAAAAAGCATCTTGACCCAAAGAACATCTTTGCGTTGGGCAACCTACTGCCCGAGAAGGATGCCTCACCAAAGACAGAAGTAGTCATCCCAGCACTATCGACGACACCACCAAAGGCCAAACTATAGAGGGTAGAAGATTGAAAGAGTGCCCTTAGTTCAAGTACTAGTCTTAGATCCATTTTCCTAGTCGCTTTTTGGGGAGTACACCAATCCCACATTGTTTGGGTTTCCAGTTCATTTGTAGCGGGCTCATGTTTTCTATGGGTTTTGATAAATAAATATGGAATATTTGTAAGCTACTGGTTTTTTCTTTCTGTGTATGGCTCAGCCATGGCCACAGACACTGGTGATTTGTGTGTGCGTGCTTAGAAGAAGGCACAAATGCGAACCGCTGATCATTGTCTTCTCATCGCAGCTCATCGAAGTCATTTGCGGCTTGATGTCCAGGAGAGTCGAGGTAGCTGAGCATCCAGCATCCAAGATCCAGCATCGAAGCCCAAAGCCAAGAGATCAAATGTCATCAAGTTGTCAACTTCGTTAGCATGCCACAAGGCAGCGATCGAGCCTGTCTTGAAGATCTTTCTTGGCCCGGCTGCTTAGCATCCAAACACTGAAAGGAAATTTTGTAGATTTTCAGATTTAGATAATTAAGATTAGAATTTTTGGATATGTTAGGTATCGTATTATTAATATTTAAGATAATTTTTTCATCTCTAAAGTTGGTGTATCTAAGCTAATTAATTTCTTGCTCTGTGAAAATTAAAAAGAAGAAAAGAGGCTAGCCTTCTGGCTTATTGATGGTCGAGGAGAAGTCGTCGCTTGGCCTGTCTTGTTACCCTGCCGTCGCAATGGATACCACACATGCCCCCTGAGCGCATTTTGGACATACCCATACACACACCCATTAACTCACACACACGGGGTATAAATAAAGATTACAATCAGCAAAAGTGAGCAGAAGAGAAGCCTCCGCCTGTGTCTAAGCCTCAGCCTGCCGCCTGGAAATTGTCAGCAATTAACCCGCGGGTCAGTCCCGGAAAACGCTTGGAGTCCTGTGTCCAGATTCCCGACTGTGATTTATGCCACACAGCGGCCTTAATGCCAAAAAACCCACAATCAAGGCCAGCGGGGGAGTGCCAGGGGCAGGACAGGGGAAGAGAATTACTATCCTGACACGTTTGGCGAGCGAAGAACAAAGATGGAATGTTCTCTTACCTGAGGGAGATATGGACATAACTCATTTGCATTGAATGAAAGGAATAAGCAGGGGAGAGTGGAGGGTTCTATCTGGGATTTGTATGATAATAGATGGCGTACAGAAATAATTAGGAAACCAAAACGTGCTGTTTTAGAGTTGAGGATTTACAAAAGGAATTAAAAACGATATCAGAACAAAGATTTGTTCGTATTTTAAGATTCAAGTCATAAAATGAATGGACATGATATTATCTCAAATATTGTATAGCAAAAAGAGTATATTTTCAACTAGATGTTTTTGAAATTAAGATCAAGAACTATGAATACCTAGAACTCGGCATCTATTCTTGATGTTTATAAAGATAGACGGCAGAAACCAAGTTTTTCAGCTTCTCCTATAAAGTATAAACAACAATATATTAAGCCTCATCATTTAATTTCTTACAATTCATCTCATTTTATTAAAAATATCATTTGTTTTCCTCCAGGAAACCCTGCAACCACTCAGCAACATGCACCCACCAATACATATTGCAGCAACATGTTGCTGGAACGTGCTCCCTCACCTGGTCGATCAGCAACAACAACCACCTCTAAGCCAGTTAACCCATTGAAGCCTACACAAAACGAGCTCTGCCGACCGAGCAGAGACTGCCTTAGTTACCTGTGCTTCATTACTGAGCCGTAGCACACCTGGCGCTCAGTTGGGAGCAGTGCGGCCAGCGAACAACAACGAGAACTCGGTACGCGATTCGAATTCCTATCCAAACAATTTCAATGCAAATCGGGTTAGAACTGTATTCTTGGCAATAGGGAAGCGGCCAACACCAGGGAGAGAGAGAGAGTTGAAGTGAGAGTGAGAGAAAGATAGAGATCTGGCCGGCATCGGGGTTTGTGGCAGCTGCAATATCGCTGATGCTGCAGTTGCAGTTCGTACGCGTCGCTTGCAACACCACAATATCGCATCGCTGTCCGATTTCGATTTCCGTGCGGCAGCATTGTGGTTAGTTTCCAAGTATTTGTTTTGTGTGGGAAAATGCGAAAAATTATCCGGCTTCGGGTGTTTTTTGCTGTGACCATTAAAACGTTTTGTCGCTTGTAATTGTGCGGCCGCTGCTTTTGTTTTGCCTTTAAAAGAGCAGTTAACAGTGCAACAGGTGCGTGAAGTAAACCAAAAACAAGTTGCTGCCAAAACGAAAAGTATCTAAGCCGTGTAATCATTAAAAGTGCATTAGACAACCTGCTGCCATCGTCAGACATATGTACTTTTGAAAAAAAAATTGTAAAATTCACTCCTGGATCCCCGGGAGATGGAAATTCTAAGGCCTTTCATCAGTCTGGCCGTCAAGCCGTCAACCCGTCACTCAGCCACTCATTCACTTTGTCAGTTTTAATGCACCTGCAATGACTTGTTAAAAAAAAAATTAGTCGAGAGATGCCCCTTAATGTTTTCCGGACCTCGGACCAGAGCCAGCCGCCTTTGGAGTCATTAAAGAGAAACAATTTCGCACTAAAAAGTCAACCCACGTCAGGTTGCCAAAGTGCTTTATAAGACCAACAACCCATAAAGTGATCTCAAAGCGAGTAAAAAAAATAAAACACGCATTTGGTATATGATAATAATAAAATCTGGCAAAAAAGAAGGCATTTGACTTTTGGCCAGTTGGAGTTATTTGGCAGCTGCAACGCCAACGCAAAATTCTTGGCCACGATATTTGGTTTATTAGTGCGGTTGCTTTGGTGTGGGTTGCTTGGGAATAGCTTGAGATTGTAGGCCAGTTCTAACCTTGGGATTATGGTGTCTTAGTATTCAAATTTTATGGCCCTCCTTTGTTTAGAAATTCCTGAAATTCCGAGAACCAGACTTGTAGCCATAACTCATCGACAGTATCCTTTATTGTAGTGTCCATGTCATGAACGTGCCTTTAATTTCCTTAATAGATATTTGAAACTGCTCATCAATTTGACGTAAAACAAATGTTAGCCATTAGAGGCATGTTCTGCATAAATGAAGCATGAATAAACGGTTGAACCTTAGCGGCGGCACAACAGCAATGTGGCATCGGTATCTAAGCTGAGCTGAGCGGAGCGGAGTGGAGCTGGGCTGAGGCGAATGCAGTCAAGGCGCACTTAATTAACATGCAACTGGCAACGTTTTCGCGTAAACAAAAATAACAAAAACAATAGTAGCCATTAACAATAACAACGATAAGTTAAACGACAACGACAAGCGTTGAAAAAGTGCAATCCATAGGAAAAAGACCTCGTTTTCAACCAAAAGGTGACGAAGACGACGAGCAGTCTGAGTTTTGCCAATCAGCCAGCTAATGATGCTGCACCAGCCTGATGCAACTGGGGATTCGCCCTGCAGCTGCTAATTAAACTTCGTGGACGAAAAGGGGAAGGAAATTGCAACATCAACAATATCAGCAGCAGCAACAGCAAAAGCAACATCAGCAACAACTTCAACAATCAGCAATTACTGCAGCAACAGCAATATAGCAGGAGCCACAAAAAGTATACATAATGTAAGTACATTTCAGAACATGATATAAAAAAAGGGCTTAACAAAATTATTATGTTTATTATGTTTTTTAAGTCATATAGTACACTGGAAAGAATAATTAATAATATTAAGTATATTATTGACACACAAATATTGTTTGGTTTTATTACACTTTTTAAATAAATAGATTATTTTTATAAAAGATCTAGTTTTTATCTTATTTCCTCAAGTGTATCAACTGTCTTTTTGACTTTCTTTCGAACTGCTTCAGTAGCAGAAACAGCAGCAGCCACCCCATCGACTTTCTAAGCCAGTTGCCAATTTAGTGCATTTGGCAGTTTTGGCCATAGCCAGGGGAACTGGCCAAAAGCGGCTGGGCTGTCACCGATTGTTAGCCACTGGGAAGAGGTAGACTGCAGCCCGTAGCCCCAAGCCTGAAGATTGCAGACTCCAGACAAAGGCAAAGTCTTCCACTGGCGAAGACTGGGTCGCGTGTTTGACACAAATGCCGCAAATAGTTTTGAAGGCGGTTTGGCCCCACTGCGATTTATGGTCAAAACCAGCGCGTTGACTTGTTCAAAACAAAAATGTGTGTCTCAGAGAGTGTGTGTGCGTGTTTGTTTCCTGTGACTGGGCTGATTGCGTTTTAATAAGTATCTTGCAGATACTTGTACCTTTCTACCAATACAATACGGGCCGTAATGTTGCATGTTTACTTCAAGTGGCAGTAGAAGCCAATGCGCAGCCCAAGACAACAAGGCACGAAAACTATTGGCCGGATGTAGGCAGAAGTTGGCTTGTTAGCTCGCGTGCCTAACTGGCTAAAAACACAGTGGGTCACAATGGGTTAAAAGATGCCCATCAAGGCCCCCTGGGTTATTGGAGGCAACTACTTGGTGAAATCTTGATTCGATAGGTTTTCTATCAACAAACTTTACGCCTAGGTAGTTAATAAGGTTTAAACATTTTCAAATTTAAATAAATATTAACCGATCGATAGTCTGTAAAAATTATCCATAAAAATTCCAATGGGCTTTTCATGTTTTGATAGATTATTGGCTTCAAATAAAAACCCAAAAGTTACACAATTATGAATACCATTCGGCTATCGATCATGAAAACAATAGAAAACTATTATTACTGTCCAGCATGGGTTGAGTTTGCATTTATCTGACCATTGTGCTTTTGGCGGCTTGGCTTTGATGGCCAAAAGATCTATGGTATTGGCCAGGCTATTTGGCAATTTGTCGCTGAAATACGGCAAGTGTTCGAGTGACGGAGTACAGATGCCAGGAATATCTTATTTTTTATAAGCTCCACAGTTGCAATGCCCAAGATCGATTGGCTGCGGGTCGTAATAGGCTTAAAGTGATTGGGAAATGCAGTTAGAGCCGAATCGAAAGAGCCATTCAAAAAGCATTGGCCACGCCTCGCGTGCAGCTGTGACCCTCAGCCAACATGAACTTGGCTAATAAAATAAACAAACAAATAAAAGCGGGTAGCAAAAAGTAAGAAAACCGCACTTTTACACAAAACTCAGTACAAGACAGCCAATAAATGTCCGACAGTGCAAAAAGGCCATAATAATAAAC